TTAATGATACAGAGACACAGAGAATTAGAGGAGATAATATTCACCTATGTCCTCTCGTTAATGATACAGAGACACAGAGAATTAGAGGAGATAATATTCACCTATGTCCTCTCGTTAATGACACAGAGAAACAGAGAATTAGAGGAGATAATATTCACCTATGTCCTCTCGTTAATGATACAGAGACACAGAGAATTAGAGGAGATAATATTCACCTATGTCCTCTCGTTAATGATACAGAGACACAGAGAATTAGAGGAGATAATATTCACCTATGTCCTCTCGTTAATGACACAGAGACACAGAGAATTAGAGGAGATAATATTCACCTATGTCCTCTCGTTAACGATACAGAGACACAGAGAATTAGATAGACTTATGGAACTAGTACCTCCTCCTCTTAATAAACATGCTAGACAAGGAAAATCTGAGTAAAATGAACACAAATTAGAATTATCATTCCTTAATTTCATACTCTACCCTTTTACAAAATGAAAGCACAAACAAAAACTTGTCAATTTCTGTGCACTTGACCTCCTGGCACAAATGATAGAAACTGGATCAGGACCATTAACTAACAATTTCTGGTTCCGGGGCCATAAAACTTAGACAAGGTCACTTTTGATCTCCGTCTCTCTTTCACTAAAGGAATGAATGAGGGAAAAGAGAGAATGAGATCAAAAGTGAAGTCAGGTCCCGAATACTCCTGAAGAAGTTGTCAGCCCTAATGAAATATATTTAGTCCTGGGCTAGAGGACTGACAGAAATTTAAATACACTGAACCAAATCTGCATGTAATTTAGAAGGTATGTCAAGAATACTATATTTCTGAGACTTTCTTTGGAGAGATAAAAATGTTGATTTTGCTTTAAATATTTTTTAAATAATAAATACTTCTATAACGAAGTATTCTCATACATGGATGATTATCGGGGTAGAATACATAACAGAGGCAGGATTTTGGTCTTTTACAGATATTGTAAAACAGTCAAGTTAGAGCCTATGTCATACTCCTGTTGTCAAACTTACTAAAGGATCAACAATCAAAGAACTCCCTTCTTAATTAATTAAGCAAGTGGTAAACGAGGAGTTCAGCTCTAGCTAACCCCCTTCTTAATTAATTAAGCAAGTGGTAAACGAGGAGTTAAGCTCTAGCTAAGTGTTTTAATAAGTAGCTTCTACGTGTGTTTCACATGATTACAATGTAAATGATAATCTATTATAAAGTTAGATTTATTAGAGTGAAAGGATTGAAAAAAAAATAGTGAAAAATCATAAACCTGATATTAAAGCATGCAAGCTAATAAACTTGTAAAATTAATTAGTGAGATGAAAGAATATTTTTAGTAATATTTTGTAACTTTTTAATTTTGATTTTATATATCATTATTTTGGAAAACTCTGCTAGTAGTTATTTATATATTAGCAAAAGTCCTATTTTATATCAGCCTGTGTGAATTCCTCACCCTTCTCATCCCTGTCCTCGGCATTCTCATCCCCCGCTCCATCTTCTACAGCCTGGACCAGCCTAGCATCGTCATGATCCCCCTACAGTTATAAGTAATCCTCAAAAGTCATTTCAAATTGGAACCAGAAGTCTCTGATGAGACTGTAGCTCTACTGGTCTGTTTGTATAACAAAAGAAAAGTAGCACTTGGATTTGAAACATTGCAACATGCAACAATAATTAGAATTATGTATCTTAATGTAGTCTACTTCTGTGCCAAGTTATATTGAAATCAAATGAAAACTGTAGGAGGAGTAGCGTTTTAAATGTATTTCACGGAAATTTCTATTTTTAGTAACCATGACCATTCACTCAAATAAAAAAACAGAAATACATATTATGTATCGTAGTGTATTCTAACTGTGTGCCAAATTAGATTGAAATCAGACCAAAATTGTAGGAGGAGTAACGTTTAATGGGAATTTCACAAAAATTTCTATTTTAAGTAACCATGGCAACACTGTTCATCGAATTCAAAAACCAATTCAATAAATTATGTATCTTAGTATAGTCTTCTTGTATGCCTAATTATATTAGAAGTAGACTAAAACTGTAGCAGGAGTAGTCTTTTAAAGGAATTTCACAGAAATTTCTATTTTTAGTAACCATGGCAACACTGTCCATTGAATTCAAAAAACCGATGCAATAAATTATGTATCTTAGTGTTGTCTACTTGTAAGCCAAGTTATATTGAAATCGGACCAAAACTGTAGGAGGAGTAGCGTTTTAAAGGAATTTCACAGAAATTTCTATTTTTAGTAACCATGGCAACATCATCCATCGAAATCAAAACCGATGCACTAAATTATGTATCTTAGTGTAGTCTACTTGTGTGCCAAGTTATATTGAAATCGGACCAAAACTGTAGGAGGAGTAGCGTTTTAAAGGAATTTCACAGAAATTTCTATTTTTAGTAACCATGGCAACACCGTCCATCAAAATCAAAAACCGATGCACTAAATTATGTATCTTAGTGTAGTCTACTCGTGTGCCAAGTTATATTGAAATCGGACCAAAACTGTAGGAGGAGTAGCGTTTTAAAGGAATTTCACAGAAATTTCTATTTTTAGTAACCATGGCAACACCGTCCATCAAAATCAAAAACCGATGCACTAAATTATGTATCTTAGTGTAGTCTACTTGTGTGCCAAGTTATATTGAAATCGGACCAAAACTGTAGGAGGAGTAGCGTTTTAAAGGAATTTCACAGAAATTTCTATTTTTAGTAACCATGGCAACACCGTCCATCGAAATCAAAAACCGATGCACTAAATTATGTATCTTAGTATAGTCTACTTGTGTGCCAAGTTATATTGAAATCGGACCAAAACTGTAGGAGGAGTAGCGTTTTGAAAAATTGTTTACAGACAGACGGACAGACAGACAGACAGACAGACAGACAGACAGACGGACGGACGACGGACACCTTACTATCGCATAAGCTCTTCTGGTCTCTGACCAGTAGAGCTAAAAAAAGGAACAAGGAAGAAAAGCAATTTTGAACTCCCTTTTTTTTTCAACCAATATATACAGAGTTATTTATATTTCATGGCAGAATAATTTCACATTAAAAATAGCATAGGTGAAATGAACTTGAATAGTGAAAGATCTAGAATAGATTGAAAAAACTAGAAATATGTCCATAAGACAAGAATGCTTCATGTTTCATTAGTAATGAAACTAATACATTTACTGAATCTGGCTTTGACATGCCCATCCTGACATTTATTCATTACCATAACTCACCCATATTTTCTGGGGATATCTGCTCGTAACTTACCCATGATTCCTTGGGATGTCTGTCCAATACTTAGCCCTAATTCCTTAGGATATCTGTCCATTATTTACCCCCAAAGCCTTGGGATGTCTGTCCAATACTTAGCCCTAATTCCTTGGGATATCTGTCCATTATTTACCCACAAAGCCTTGGGATGTCTGTCCAATACTTAGCCCTAATTCCTTGGGATATCTGTCCATTATTTACCCACAAAGCCTTGGGATGTCTGTCCAATACTTAGCCTTGATTCCTTGGGATATCTGTCCATTATTTACCCACAATTCCTCGAGATGTCTGTCCATTATTTAACCCCAATTCCCTGGGATATCTGTGCATTACTTAACCCACAATTCCCTGGGATGCCTCTCTCTATTACATACCCGTGATTCTTCAGGATGTCTGTCCATTTTGCCAATGTTTTTATCATCACTCCTCAGGACTTCTCCTTCGTCCTCCTGATTGTGATGGATCACTGGTTCCACGATTTGTTGATGAACCACATTGTTATTGTGGTCCTCCAACGGTGCCCTGTTATTGTTGTCTTCCACTGGTGGCCCATTATTGTTGTCCCCCACTGGTGGTTTATGAACCTCCTCCTTCTCCTCCTCCTAAAAGATTATCATAGTGCTTTGTTACATGCTTGTACAGATATTAAAGTTTTTGACCTCCCTCAAAAAACATAGATCATTTAATCTTCAAGTTAGATAAACTAAAGCATTTCAATATGAGCTGCTGATTATGTGCATGCCATGAATTACATTTAAAAGCAAGGTTAATAATTAACAAAAAGCAAATACTCAATGATGCAGAGGTCATTTTGGGAGTAAAAATTGACCTCTGAGTCTGTGCATTGTAAAGTTCAAAAGCAAAATTCAAGCTAAATGCCCTCATGAATTGCCATGCAGTGCAAGCATTTTATGCATACAAAACAAAACTGGTTGCACCAAACACCGTAAACACTTTTATGCTTAAATGAGATCTGCATGAAGAACTTGCAGAAGCCAAGATTTCCACCAAACCCTATAGACCCTGTTGCCAGGCTTACCTGATGCTTTTGAGTCAATTCTCAAGAAAATGTTGTTTAAATCAGTAAAATTAAAATGAATGCAAAAAGCTTTTACAGGCAAGGTTTGTACTCACAAAGTATTAGATCAGCTTTACAGTTTACGAATTTAAAATGCCTGTTCTCCTTGCACTGAAAGACATTTTCTGGTAATCAATGTCATTTGTATCTTTTATATTCATTAACATATTCTGCGAAATAAAATACTATTAAGGAGGCCTACATACTTAGTAAATTTAATTATGTAATAAATTACAGTGAAAAAAATTCCTCAAGTGTAAAAGAACAGTCAAACCTTGGTAACTCCACAAACATACTAAGTCAGTTTGTCAGAAAATTTTGAGATATTCCATGGGGATGAAATTCATATTCATAAAAGGTTTGGACTGTCTTTGACATATTCCCTGGTATTTAACATATTGCTGTTAAAGATACCTAAGTTCAATGGCACTGGACAGAATTTTAAAAATTAAAAAAAAAAAAAACAAAACTCAAGATATATTTCATGCATTATGCTTTCTGTGTTACATCTTGTCAAAACAGTTTACCATATAAATGCCTACTGCTACTATTAACCACAGCTTATCTAAATAAAACTGTGCATTTAAGCAAAACAAATTCCTCTTTCCTTGTGACAAAGGAACAAGCCAACAGAGTGTTATGGTAGTTTAATAAATTTCAGTACATATAAATATTGTATTATACAATCACTATATTTAATATTTATCCAGTAACATGTATTTCCATAGCTTAAGACCACTTAAAAACCCACAATAAAAAAATATAACCATGTAAACATTAAAAAACAAGAAACTCTTTTGTCACAAAAGTAACCAATTCTATCATCGGAATGGATCCAACAAATGAAGTATACCGGTACATATACTATGGGTCTTCAAATGTTGAAGTGAATTTAAAAAAAATTAACTTTAATATTTCAATAAATTGTGGTTTATAAACTTTGGACATATATGCAAGATCAGTGTTTTATAATGTTGGTAGATCTCGGACAATCTATAAGAATTACTAGATGTATCGAAGCTAGGACTCATTTTTAATCTTTTTTTTCTCTGTTGTTGTTCATAGCCTCAAAATTAAATAGGAACTTAAGAAAGGACAACAGAAAATATTTATATTACACAGTTAATCTGAAATGATTTTGATAAATACAATTACCAAAAATCATCATGAAGTCAGGATTAAAGAAAACAAATTTCTAAGCTGAAAACAGAGTTACTTTGTACAGAAAAAAAAAAATCACATCCCTACGAGAATACTATCAGAGATCAAGTGATGGACATTTCCCCTTTAGTTATAAATTAAAGAAAAGATGACTCTGACACTTATTCACACACTTTGCTACATATTCCAAACTTTTTTTTACATGCATTTTTTTCAAAAAGTGGTAAACTAAATATACAGATTTCTAGCTTTCATTCATTAAAGCCAGGCCTTTAAGTATATTTCTACTTGTACATATAACAAGCAATACCTATATTTATTTACATGTATATATGTATATGTATAAACAACAAAGAACTATTTCTATAATTTTCTCTGTATGTTGACAACAATGTAAAAATCATGAGTTATTCCATTCATGTTAATCATTCTGATAATTATTTTCTCTCATTTCTATGCAAGAACAATCTGAGGGTTTCACTTAATGTAAACTAACATTCATATCATCACCATACACTATGACTAGCATTATTATTATTTTATTGGTAATTCAAATCATTAATACATATCACATCAATAATCAAAATGCACCTAACGTACCAGTCCCTGAAGAATAGAAAGACAGAAAGAGCATTTAATTCATTTGGATTGACAGCTGATAATTTAATGAAAACAACCATGACTAGTTAACCTCTTCACACACAATGGATCATATTAAAATTTATACAATGGTTTTCTTACAGATATCAAATATCTCCTTTTTGTATAAAGAGTCAAATATCTCAGTTTATTACTGGGAACTGGTGCATATACATTCTGTAAATATACAAATAGTGACTCTGACAGGATACTGGAAGACATGTTTCAGTTGCTAAGCAACTCTATTTGATTATATATAACTAGAGATGGGTATCACCAAAAATTTTGTATCGCGATTTTCCCCCAAAAATATCACGATAATATCATGATATTTTGCAAGCAATTTTTACAGTGATTTTAAATGAATTTTCATAATTTTTCCTAAAGATGTGCTGGAAAAACATAGCCTCACTTTTTTTCATTTTTTTATTTACATAATATAAGGCATGTTTGGATGCTAAGATATCATTCTTTTACCATTCTCAATATTCAAATATTGTTTAAATGTTAAAACCTTTTGAATGGTCTCTTTTTTGCATTCTTCGCATTTAGTATGTAATATTTTTAAACCTATGACATATAAACTATGGAATTTCAACCCGCCCACAAAATTGATTCTTAATTAACATACACTTTGTAATAATTCAGCACTTCATCATTTCATGATCTACCACCAATGAACAGAAAAATAACTTTTCTTTAAAGATCATACATATTACGACATCACAATCACTTAAGGTCAAGATCTAGTAAATGAAGAGTGCCTACAGATTTCTCAAATTTGAGAAACAAATTCCTTTAACAATCTTTTACAATTATAGCTAAATGAATTGAGGTGTATCAGGGCATAATTTTTAGATATACGCAACGAAAAAACATATTTTCAACTGCCCTTTTTAATGAAAAATGAAGAAAATCAGGTATAAAAATGGGAGTTTTCTCCATCTCAGACAAACAAAATGTATCAATATTGCCTACAGTCTCTCAGTAAACAGTTTTTCATATCTTCTTGACCTCTTCTTTAAAATGATATTAAATTAAACATAGGTATCGGGGTTCCTTCAGAAATGATTTCAAATTGAATTTCATGAAAATGTGTCATTTTCTACTTAATTCTGTTATAGCCGTAAAATACGGGAAAAATTAAGATTAAATCAATTATGACATCATAATGATCTAGCACCAAAAGACAGACTAAACTCATTTACTAGATCTTGACCTTAACAAGTCTCCCTCCATAAAACACAGAGTAAAGATCTAAGAATATCTATTGTTATTCTGAAAACCATCAAAATATCCTAGGCTCATTTGAGGTGAAAAACTTTCAAGAGGTTTTCCTATCTCTACATTTGATTGAAAAAGAACTTTATTTCATTTTCAAAAGGTTTGGTAGGTTGTTTACAGGGGTGTGTACACTGTAATAGAATTGCTCTATTGATTTTGTAGTCTATATTGCCTGTGTTAAAAGTCCCAAAGTTCATATCCTCACAAACTTTTCAAAAAGGATGACTTTCCTTAACAAGAGTCTCAAAGGGCCTTAACAGTCACCTGAGTATAATACAACCCTGTAAAGGAATAATGATCAAGTATTACAAAATAAACTGAAACTTTAAAAATCAAGAGAAATAGGAAGATCAGGGATCAACAAAATATTTAGTTTAGTAATCAGCAACAACTCAGAAGCTTGCCTGTACATGCCAATGCTATCTTCCCTCTATCACTATCAGAAAATGTAACAAGGCAATTGTGCTTTAGCATTTAAAATTAATTCTTAATATACATACATGTATATGTTATATTTGTCTCATTTTTGTTCATCTATTATTTTCAAGTTACCTGACTATCAAAAACTACAAAAGTCCTTTTTGAATTATACATTAAAATTCTTCTTTAATTATTTACTTAATTTACCTATCAATTACATTATTTACAGCAATTAATTATCATACGTGAATGACAAAGGGGAATAACTTCTCTTAAAGCAGAGTAAAAAAATTCCATACATGATCATAATAGATAACCATAACTCTAGAACCCCTTACCCAGGGGCCATAAATTTAACAATTTTGGAAAAGGCATTCTTCCTATTCATGGGGGCAGGTACCATGAAATTCATAATTTTTGTTCTCTTTCACCCATAGATGCTATATGCCAAAATTGGTTAAAACTGGTTCAGCAGTTTCAGTTTCAATGTTCACATGACAGATGACGACAGACAAAAACAGATAACAATAAGTCACCTGAGTAACTCAGGTGAGCTAAATAGGAAGCAGTAACAGTTGTAAGTGATTATAATGAATTTGGTAAAGGTATGGAAAACAACAGTCCTCTGGCAGTTATTTGAATTAAAAGAATAAAAGGACTGTATTCCCTTGTCCCAGATTTAAGAGATTTACAATTGCCTCCTGTTAAACATACATCTAACAAAGTAGGCAGTGTTATTGACACTGGTATACACTGATCTCTCCCTGTCTGGGTTAGATAAAATGTGAAAGCACTAAGTACAGTTAAGTATAGATAAAACTCATCCCTCATGTACATGTCACAGACTGTATATATACATTTCATAAACTGCAGAATTTCTCTTCCTCACTTTCTTGGGGGCAATAAATTCTGTTCTTTCTGAGATTCCGCATTATCTTTACCATCAGCTCCCCCTGGTGGCTGAATATTAAAACCTTGAACCTCTGGCTTTTGTAAATTTTCATTTGGAGGCAACACCTGTAAAACAGGGTCACCTAATTTTGGTTTCACATTTGCACTGTTAGATGGTTTCTCCTCTTTTTTATGTTCACCATATTTAATTTCCTCTGCATCAAGGATTTCTGGTGGCTGAATGTTTGGGTGTTCCTCCAGATCTTTGCGGTGTTCCAAGGCCGTTTTGTTTATAGGACTGCCTGGGCTTTCGTCAACCTTCTCGTGCTAAAGAGGATTTATACAACATACCATATACTTTCTGCTTAGTAAGAATTCATGCACATGATATCAGCATGATTAGTGAGTTATGAGCAGTGTTAATAAGGCATACATGGGAAAAGGTACTTCATTTCTGCAGTAACCAATATTTGAAAAATTATTTATTTTTCTTAAGTCAAGAAAATATGATAATACTCATGATTAAGAAAGAGAAAGTTGTTTGCAAAGATTGATTATTGTAAAATATAACCATTCTGACAGTAATTATACTCTTCATTGCAAGATCTGCAATTAAACTGACTGCAGAAACATTCCCTCATATATAAGTACACAGATTGCACTAGTACAAGTAATCTCAGATATAACTAGAAATAACTCAAATACACACACAGTTTCATGCAGATAACTTGGGTGTTAAAATACAAAATGCAATTCTAACAAAGAATATATAGAAGAATTTTAAAACTGTATTGTACAGTCCAACCAAGGAATCCTCCCTAGTCATATCCATCTTTCCTTTTTTTTTTTTTTTAAAGATTTTTATTATTCGAATTTGCATTAAAATTTCAGTTGAACATTATAATGTTAGAATTGTCAATCAAAAAAAGATTCATAGTATACAGTTCTCACTAACACAGTAAAAAGAAATGAAACTTTATCAGATGGCTATAAAAGATGCACAAATCAAACTTTACAACATCAAGTTAACTCTAAAATACTTTATATATGCAAGGTAATTTGAACCAGTGATATAAAAACTGAACGTTTTCAACTCTTCCTCACTGTTTGGTTTTAGATTTTAGACACTGGACTGTTAGTACAGAGTTACTGGCCTTACCTGTGGTTTGTCGTGGTCTACGTTTGGTGGATGAACCTGATGTTGTTGCTGGTTTTGTTCTATCAGCTCTGCTTTCTCTTTTGGATTCACTGAAAGAAAATGCATATCATCTAGTAAATAGCTACACAATATAAATGTATCCTTAGGTTATCTTCTTATAGGAAACAACATCTGTATTCACAAATACAAGATCTATTCCTTAGTCAACAGTTTACAAGAGCAGCATAAATGTAGCAAAAAATTCCACTTTGGGATAAGATTAAACATTACCACATAGCAAAGCTTTAAGTATATACAGTACAGGCCACGAGTTTTCCCCGTCGCACGGTGGAAAACACACCGTGTGAAATGGTCTGTGTTACACCGTGTACACGGTGTAGCACGGTGTGTGTGGATTTGAAATACACAGGTAGGCACACCGTGCCGCACCGTGTCTAGAAAAATCCCAGCTAATGCTCCCCGTGTCGCACCGTGCCCGAAAAATTCCCTCCGTGCCGCACCGTGTCCATAACATTACAGAGAAATCGTTTGGTGCTGATAAAAACTTTAAAATTTAAAAACAATTAATTAATCACTTTGATTTATATGTATAATCATCGTTTTAAAATCTAGAAGACATTGACTGTGGTCTGAATCGAACTAATGACACATGTACATGTAGTAGGATTAAAAAATCGGTTATCATACGCCTAGAAGTTCGTATTTCGTTAAGTTATTTAGTTATTTTTTAAAATTATGATTTGGATTGAAATTTTTAATGTCCGAAGAATTCAATTCTATGTGCTCATGCCACGAAGAAAGACTCCATCGAGCTGCATTACATGTAGTATACGATCCGATGTCAGAGAGAGAGAGAGAGAGAGACTTCATTTCGCATAAAACTAAAAAAAAATCTTCGTTTTTATAATGCCTAAGAGTATTTCTCGTAACAGACGATTGACTTTATCTTTTCATAAACTAGTATTTATGCCTTTGTTTTAAAATCCTTTCAGTGTAAGTATTTAATACGGTAAGTTTTTATTTAAATGAAAAGTGTGTAAAGAAACAATGTCAGAGAGAGAGATTCTTATAAATTTGATTCTTCGTTTTATTTACATTACCAAAGTCACAATTAACCATAATGATTATATAATACTATTTAAATTCCGTAACTTTGTTTTATATTCAACTCAGTTACAAATGTGTTCAATCAATTTGTTCTCCGTAACACAGGAAATCCTCGTGCTCTACCTGTCAATCAAAATCGCACGACGCTAGGTGGCCCTGAAAGTTTGTTTACGCGGAAAGTATTTCTCTTGTGATTTGAAACATTCTTATGGTCAGTTCCGAGTTCACACCTTTCTTTAAAATATATTTAGATAGAGCCGGAGGGCTGGGGCGCTGTGTGTTTATCACACCTTTCAAATTCTTCCGTCCTGACCATATCATGTGTACATGTATAACACACTCAAGTGACTTCCAGCCGAATTCATCTACCGGGTTACACCACCAGTCCACCACACGATTTTAAACTTACTTGTAAATTATCCTTTTTCAGACACATATAAACACGTACATGTAAACAGTTAGATTATGACTGTTTTATTTCACCATAACGTAACATATACATGTAAATCCACAGACTTTCGAAGCGGGGGGGAGGGGGGGTTAACAAACATAATGCATGTAGCTTGAAAGAGGCTGGGTATTTTTTTTTTTTTTTTTTGGTTATAACTACACATTTTCTTCCTTAAAACCATGATAATACTTTGACCATGAGAAGCTTTAATTTGTTCTATACATCCCCGCTCTACATTCGCTAATTGATTTTTTTTTTTTCGCAAACCGTACGAAACATTTTTCATAAAATAATCTCAGAATAAAGTAATATTTGTACAGTAGTTAAAAAGCAGATTTGAGTTACCAGCAATAATCCTTAATCGAAAGTACATGTATAATTCGCGGAGTAATATAATCAGAGAGCAGAGTTCATGTGTGTGTATCTGACACGTTTTTTTTAATTTTATTTATTTAGATGCATATTATTTTTTTAAAAAAAAATTTTACGTAGAAAATGATTTATAAAATAAACCAATAGGCATGCATCTGATAAATACCACATACCGTATAATAATAGTCTGACTATTGAACATATTTTTTCTCTTGTATAGTTAGGTTTTTGAAACGTGACTTACATGGATGTACGAACACATTTTGAAGAGTTTGTATTTCGCTGGACAAGAGCGCGTGGATCTTAGATTTTATGGCATCTTATTTGTTCAAACATCTGCATATCGTTATTAATATCTCCTCGGTCAATATTGATATTTTTCTGGTGAATAACAAACCATTCACCACCGAAAGAGTCCATAATTGTATAATATTTAAGAAAAAAGTGAAAAATATCTGATTTCAAAGGAAATTAATATATTTGATTAAATTAAGAAAGGAAAAGTTTTTATTATAAGTTCTGCTTGATATCGTAATGGGACATTGTGATACACCGCGCGTACACACCGTGTTACACGGTGCGCAGACACCCTAACTTCAAAGACGCCGACATTGATCGAGGTCCACGCTAAAGCGTGGACTTTCGGTCCACGGGGCCCCGTGTTTTTCGGGGAAAACTCGTGGCCTGTACTGTACTAGTGATTATAGAATTACCATTAGTCACATTTATAAGGAAGCATACTACAATCATTATGATAGTTCTGAAATCAAATTTTGGTAAAAGTTAAGAATTTGATGAGGGAAAACACAATGCCTTCACATAATATATTCAACTTGAAATAGTGACCATAACCATTGAATTATGACCTTAGAAATCAATAGAGATCATCCTCATGACATTAGCTAAGAGTAAGTAAACACTTGCATCAACAGTTCAATTTAAGTTCAGATATTACGTGGAAATGAACTTTCATCCATGTCATAGTGCCCTTGACCTTTGACCTTGAAAAACAATAGGGTTATTGCCCATATGATTTGCTACCTACATATGAAATATGAAATCAATTAAATAACACATTTCAGAATTAACATTAAGAAACTGACTAGATGGTCATCTATAACAGTATCAATGGTAAAAAAAAAAATCCCACAATTTCAACAAAAGGCCCATGGGCCACAATGCTCACCTGAGTCAATATGGCCCTGTCATTCTTCTTGAGCAGATTTCTTCTCCTATATATATTCATATGTAAAGCTTTGATCGTCTGTTCTAAGCCAGGTGCCATGTTTTGAATAAAATTGAATCTAAACTTTCTGAGAACACTTCTATATTCATATAACTAATCATGGCTTTGCTGTTCTTGAAAGCGGAATTTTAAAGATGTCTGCCACCCTACCTGGGGGGGGGGGGGGGGGGGGGGTGTCAAGGGGGTCATGATTTGAACAAACTCGAATCTACACCACCTGAGGATGCTTCCATATAAATATGACCAATCATAGCTTTGTTGTTCTTGAGAGGAAGATTTTTTAAATATTTTTTCTTCTATATTATCCTATGTAAAATTTTGATCCCCCACTGTGGCCCCATCCTACCCGGAGGGGTCATGATTTGAACAAATATGAATCTACACTACCTGAGGATGATTCCATATCAGTGTGACTAATTGTGGCTTTGTTGTTCTTGAGAAGAAGATTTTTAAAGAACTTTCCTATATATTCCTATGTAAAACTTTGATCCCCCATTGTGGCCCCACCCTACCCCCGGAGGTCATGATTTGGAACAAACTTGAATCTACACTATGTAATGAAGGTTTCACATAAGTTTCAACTTTTTCTGGCCCAATGGTTCTTGAGAAGAAGATTTTTAAAAGACAAAAGGCCCATGGGCCACATCGCTCACCTGAGTAACTTTGGCCATGCTATTCAATACCAGACTTCCCCCTTGTAATACCTATTGTGGCCCCGCCCTACCCTTGGGGGCCATGATTTGAACAATTTAGAATCTACACTACCCCAGGATGCTTCCTTATAAGTTTCAGCTTTTCTGGCTCAGTGGTTCTTGAGAAGAATATTTATATATATATATATTTCAATGTAAAACTTGTATTCCCTTTTGTGGCCTTGCCCTACCCCTGGGGGTCATGATTTGAACAATTTAGAATCTACACTATCCCAGGATGCTTCCACATAAGTTTCAGCTTTTCTGGCTCAGTGGTTCTTGAGAAGATTTTTCCTATATATTTCAATGTAAAACTTGTATTCCCTTTTGTGGCCTTGCCCTACCCCTGGGGGTCATGATTTGAACAATTTAGAATCTACACTATCCCAGGATGCTTCCACATAAGTTTCAGCTTTTCTGGCTCAGTGGTTCTTGAGAAGATTTTTCCTATATATTTCAATGTAAAACTTGTATTTCCTATTGTGGCCCCGCCCTACCCCCGGGGGTCATGATTTGAACAATTTAGAATCTACACTTCCCCAGGATGCTTCCACTTAAGTTTCAGCTTTTCTGGCCCAGTGGTTCTTGAGAAGAAGATTTTTCAAGATTTTTCCTATATATTTCAATGTAAAACTTGGATTCCCTATTGTGGCCCTGCCCTACCCCAGGGGGTCATGATTTGAACAATTTAGAATCTACACTGCCCCAGGATGCTTCCAAATAAGTTTTAGTTTTTCTGGCTCAGTGGTTTTTGAGAAGAAGATTTTTTAATGACCCCACCCTATTTTTGTCTTTTCTTGATTATCTCCCCTTGTAAGGGCATTTGGCCCTTTATTTTAACAATTTAAACTCCCCTTCACCCAAGGATACTTTGTACCAAGTTTAGTTAAAATTGGCCCAGTGGTTCTTGAGAAGAAGTTGAAAATGTGAATAGTTTACAGACGGACGGACAGATGGACGGATGGACAACGGGTGATCAGAAAAGCTCACTTGAGCTTTCAGCTCAGGTGAGCTAATGACACCAAATTTTCACCAATTTTTAATTATCTCCCCTTGGAAGAGGGTGTGGCCCTTCATTTGTATAAACTTGAACCCCCTTCACCCAAGGATGCTTTGTGGCAAGTTTGGTTGAAATTGGCCCAGTGGTTCTGGAGAAGAAGTCGAAAAAATGAAAAGTTTATAGAAGGACAGACAGACGACTACAGACAAAATGTGATCAGAAAAGCTCACTTGAGCTTTCAGCTCAGGTGAGCTAACCAGAAGTCTCTGATGAGACTGTAGCTCTACTGGTTGTATTTATAAAGGAAGATAAAAGTAGCACTTGGACTTGAAACTTTGCAACAGCAATAAATAGAATAATGATCCTTAGTTTAGTCTCTTTTGTGGCAAGATTTATTATTATTTCAAACTAAAACTGTAGGAGGAGTAGCCTTTTAAAACAATTTTACAGAAATTTTGATTTAAGTAACCATGGCAACATCATTCAAAAAATCAAAAAAACAATAACACCAATTATGTATCTCTGTAGTCTACTTGTATGCTACATTATACTGAAATCAGACAAAAAAGTGTAGGAGGAGTAGCATTTTAAAAGTATTTCAAGAAAATTTCTATTTTTAGTAACCATGGCAACACTGTTCATTGAAATCCGAAACTGGTACAGAGAATTATGTATCTTAGTGTAGTTTACTTGTGTGCTAAGTAATACTAAAATCAGACCAAAACTGTAGGGGTAGCATTTTGAAGGTATTTCAAGGAAATTTCTATTTTTAGTAACCATGGCAACAATGTTCATCGAAATCAGAAAATCAATATAAAATATTATGTATCTTAGTGTAGTCTACTTGTTTGCCAAGTTATATTGAAATCAGTTCAAAACTGTAAGAGGAGTAGCATTTTGAAAGTATTTCACAGAAATTTCTATTTTTAGTAACCATGGCAACACCGTTCATCGAAATCAAAAACTGATACACAGAATTATGTATCTTAGTGTAGTCTACTTGTGTGCCAAGTAATATTGAAATCAGACCAAAACTGTAGGAGGAGTAGCATTTTGAAAGTATTTCACAGAAATTTCTATTTTTAGTAACCATGGCAACACTGTTCATCGAAATCAAAAACTGATACACAGAATTATGCATCTTAGTATAGTCTTCTTATGTGCCAAGTTATATTGAAATCAGATCAAAACTGTAGGAGGAGTAGCATTTTGAATGTTTTTCACAGAAATTTCTATTTTTAGTAACCATGGCAACACCGTTCATCGAAATCAAAAACCGATACACAGAATTATGTATCTTAGTGTAGTCTACTTGTGTGCCAAGTAATATTGAAATCAGACCAAAACTGTACGAGGAGTAGCATTTTGAAAGTATTTCACAGAAATTTCTATTTTTAGTAACCATGGCAACACCGTTCATCGAAATCAAAAACCAATATACAGAATTATGCGTCTTAGTATAGTCTACTTGTGTGCCAAGTTATATTGAAATCAGATCAAAACTGTAGGAGGAGTAGCATTTTGAATGTTTTTCACAGAAATTTCTATTTTTAGTAACCATGGCAACACCGTTCATCGAAATAAAAAACCAATATACAGAATTATGTATCTTAGTGTGGTCTACTTGTGTGGTAAGTAATATTGAAATCAGACCAAAACTGTAGGAGGAGTAGCATTTTGAAAAATTGTTTACAGACGGACGGACAGACAGACAGACAGACAGACGGACGGACGACGGACACCTTACTATCGCATAAGCTCTTCTGGTCTCTGACCAGTAGAGCTAAAAAAATGGGCTGTGAAAATTGCAGTTGTATGTCTATGAAAATGTTTATGGTGTTCACAACTGCCTACTTGTTTTTTCCTCTTATATTCTAGTGTATCAAAAAGTTTTAATATTGCTATGAAACTGTAAGAATTGTAAAACTTCCTTTTTTCCATATGCATGAAAATCATAAAATGTTCAGGAACTTGGATATATTTTTTTTCTTTCTATCATAGAAGTTAATGTAAGATTTGAAACAAGAGGCCCATGGGCTCACCTCAGCACATTAACTAAGCAAAAGCACAAATCGGTTCAGTATTGAAAAGATTACCGGGTTGGGGTGGGGGAGAAGGGGTGGGGGGGAGTTGTATTTTAAACTACCTGATGATGCTTCCATGTCAACATAACAAATGGCTTTGTTGTACTTGAGAAGATTTTAACAACATTTTCCCATATATTCCTTTGTAAAAATTTGATCCCCCATTGTGGCCCCACCCTACCCCCGGGGGTCATGATTTGAACAAAATAGAATCTACACTACCTGAGGATGTTTCCATATAAATATGATCAATCATGGCTTTGTTGTTCTTGAGAAGAAGATTTTCAAAATTTTTCCTATATATCTCTATGTAAAAATTTGATCCTCCATTGTGGCCCCACCCTACTCCCGGGAGTCATGATTTGAATAAATTTGAATCTACACTACCTGAGGATGCTTCCATATAAATATGACCAATCAGGTCTTTGTTGTTCCTGAGAAGAAGATTTTTAAAGATTTTTCCTATATATTTCTATGTAAAAATTTGATCCTCCATTGTGGCCCCGCCATACCCCCGGGGGTCATGAATTGAACAAACTTGAATCTACACTACCTGAGGATGCTTCCACTTGAGTTTCATCTTTCCTGGCCCTGTGGTTCTTGAGAAGAAGATTTTTAAAAGATGCTATTAATTTTTCACTAATTCTTTATTATCTCCCCTTGAAAGAGGGCGTGGCCCTTTATTTGAACAAACTTGAATCCCCTTCACCCAAGGATACTTTGTGGCAAGTTTGGTTGAAATTGGCCAAGTGGTTCTTGAGAAGAAGTCGAAAATGTTAAAAGTTTACAGACAGACAGACAGACGGACGCCGGACAAAAAGTGATCAGAAAAGCTCACTTCAGCCTTCGGCTCAGGTGAGCTAAAAAATGTGAATTATCAGTAAAAAAAATATACTACACTTACATGTAATGGAATTTCCTCCATGTTGTTGTTGGATCCCAATTTGCTGCTGACCCTAAGGAAGAAAGAAAAATACCGCTTATAGTTAAACAATCCATGTAAACACCAGAATGGATCATGTAACTACCCCTGGTATATGGCTATTTAGAAAGTACATTAAATCTTAGGGAAATTCATTTCAATGAAAAATCTTTTCATTACTTTTTCAAAATATTTAAATGAATTTGGCAATCAGTTACATAACATTATACATTTGAAAAGTTCTAAATATTGTTTGATAAAATGTTAAGATCATTGGAAAGATCAGGAAAATACTGTATATGTACTTAAAAAAGTGGGCTTCATATTTTAGCGGCTTTGGCTCAGACAACGATGCGCTAATTCATGAATACCACTAAGAAATCATTTATAAATACAATGTACGGCACGGACATGTATAGCATTAATTCATGATTTCACCAACAACTCCATACCCAGTGATTGCGCTGAATTTTGAATACGCCGATTTATGTACAGGTACAGTCTATGTATACTGTGATGTCTCAGTAGTATTTTTGTAATGTAATATCTCCTTAAATCATATCATAATACGGAGTGTTCAGTATACTGACCATGAATATGATGCAGAAAGAGAATAATATTTTATTGAGGAAAAGGTTCAAAGTAAACATTTGGCCACATAACTTGGAACGCTTGTTATAAAACTAAAAAGATTAATTCCAGTTTGGATAAAATATACTTAACTCTGTCATACGCAAGAATAAATAAAAGAGTTCTAAATTATTTTTAATATTATCTAAAGTTCTTTAAAAAATGGCAGATTTTTCTGTGTCGACATTTGTGCTAAATAAGAGGTAAAAATCATTGTTGTGAATAATGAATACAGTGACAATGGCAGGAGTACAGAGGAGAATACTGCAGAGATATATTGCAGTAATTCATCAATTGTTTAAAACTGAGAAGAGATTTGTCTGTCCATTATTTCCTCATTAAAACCAAAATGATGTGTGTGTTTAGACATGTCCTCACTGTATTGTAACTCCATGATTACACCAACCAGTCAGTACCTAGTAATTGCACTAAATTTTGAATATGTCAATTTATGTATGCAAACAGTAATACATACATATTTTCCTGATCTTTTCCATGTGTGAAAAACTTCAACTTAGGTTAAATGTTTTACAATTTATCAACAACATTCAAACTTTTTCAAATGCCCATCCTATGACCCAGAACACAAAAAACAAATTATTTGTTCATGCAAATACTACAATGAATTACATCATATCAGAAAATTATAAACATGCAGTATGATAGGATTCACTAATATCAGTAAGATGCATGCTAAAGCCCTGAAAGCTGCTAGTCAAATGATTTGCTTTTTTCACTTTTACTCTTACTTTTCATTATCGATTTCTGTAAGTGTGAATAATTCCTAGTAGCAAATATTGCAGAATGCAAAGATTAATTAAGCATACAAACCAAAACATTTTGGGGTTTAAACCTCAGCATATCATCCCCTTGTTGGTTATTATTTGGAAGATTTTTATTGTTAGCAGGGTTCTGGGCAAACTGATTGATAAAATTCTGGTTCTGTGGGACATTGCCTGCTCCAAATCCCTGATTGGCTAAATTTACTTGTTGACCCAGTCTCTGATTGGCCAGATTTTGTTGACCTTGTCCCTGAATGGCCAGATTTTGTTGATTAGCAAGTTGATTCTGCTGAACAGCTTGTTGTAACTGCATCACTCTTTGTTGAGACTCTTGAAGCTGAGCTTGAAATTGTTGCTGAAAATGGGTGACAACAAAATAGGTTGTGTGCTTTTGTGAGAGGATCACTGCAGCAAGAGTGAATAATTATTGTGAGCAGTAAATTTCCTTATTTCTAAAAGAAAGATCCACAATATCATCATACTTATGATCATGAAATTACCATTGGAGAAAACAAGCAGGATAATAAAATATTCCTTGGCATACTGCGTCAATGTTATACGGTAATAAATCCTTCAACAGTCCAATATAAGTTGCCTAGAACTTAGTATAAACAATGCTGCTGCGCCTGCATTAGAAATTCACTAGTTCTGCCATTGAATTTCACCCAATAAGGAAAAGGATTTTTAAGTTGTTTTTTTTTTAATTTTAGACTTTAACTGTTCTACCTATGACTATGTGCAATGTGATTAGCCTTATATGATAAGCAAAATAGTTGTGTCCCCTTATTTGGCTTTCCTAGACTTTTACCTCTCGTTTTAAGTTTTAGTCATGAAGAAATATTTCTGACAGAGTTCATTTTGAATTTTCTTTTCCATGTTACTCACAAATGAAATACTTTAAAGCTGATAATATGCAGCAAAAGCAAAACCTGCTATTCTACAAAAAGTTCCACTCCTTTATAAAAAGAAATTAATATACTCCTGTAAACTACTATCAAAAGAAAGAGGAAAAGAGAAAGGGTGTACATCTTAAATTTAACTATATCAGTTATTCAGAGTAGAGAATTTTTAAGGAATACATGTAATACCACAGAGTACCCATTCCGGTATAAAATCATGCATGTACATATATAATTAATTAATGAACTAGTATATTTATAACCATTCCAATGAAAATCATATTTTCTTGGAAAGTAACATATAAAATAATGAACTCCTAAAAAAAATATTAAAAGGCAATAACATTTTTTAAAAGACTGTTATAACCTACTTTGCATTAAACAGACCACAAAATTATCTGTGGAAATTAACAGCCATATAATTCAACACCTGAACCTAGTGGTATGGAATGTTTAACAGTAGAAATCCAAATGATAAAAGATAGTGTTCAAAATGAAAATCAAAGAGGTGATACCTACATGGCCCATTACAATACACACGCTGCAGATTAAATTAACAGGTAGCCTACTTACCTGAGAACTTTGAAGCTGTGCACTCAATGTCTTAATCTGTTCATCTAGGTTACCCTTCTCCCTCTTCAAATTTGCTACTTCATCTAAAGAATTCAGAGGAAAATTTACATTCAAACTTATACGAGATACAAATTAATCCATAACTATTGTCATCTATTGTTAATCTGCCTAAAGAATCTAGGTCTGCTATAGATAACTTAACCAGTCATATTGGACATTAATGGAGTATTTAATCACCTAATTATTTTTATCTAATAGTGCCATTATGTATCATAAACTTTTTGATATGGTAAACAAATTTCTGAATAAGGATATTGTTGTGAGTCCTCTTTTTTTTACCTTTCAAATTGGAGATTTCCAGATCCTTTTCCTGTTTGAGTCGTTCGTATTCCTGAGTTCTCTGTAGATCCTGTGACTGATGATCTTCCACTTCTTTATCTTTCTCCCTCTGTATTTTTGAAACTTCAGCCTCCAGGTCTTGATGTTGTGCCTGAAAAAAAATATGAAGTGATCCATCAACTTAGAATTAAGTTTAACATGATCCATCAACTTAGAATTAAGTTCAACGTGATCCATCAACTTAGAATTAAGTTCAACATAATCCATCAACTTAGAATTAAGTTTAACATGATCCATCAACTTAGAATTAAGTTTAACATGATCCATCAACTTAGAATTAAGTTCCACGTGATCCATCAACTTAGAATTAAGTTCCATGTGATCCATCAACTTAGAATTAAGTTCCGTGTGATCCATCAACTTAGAATTAAGTTTAACGTGATCCATCAACTTAGAATTAAGTTCAACATGATCCATCAATTTAGAATTAAGTTTAACGTGATCCATCAATTTAGAATTAAGTTTAACGTGATCCATCAACTTAGAATTAAGTTTAACGTGATCCATCAACTTAGAATTAAGTTCAAGTCGTGTCAGTATAATAACATGATTAAGGAAGAATTTGTTTCTACTTGAAGTCCATACTGGTTGAGATGTGAAACAGATTTTTACATCTTTTAATGATTTTTTTTTTTAATTGATAAAAAGAACATTCTTCACTTAAAAAAAGATAGATTGAGACAGACAGCATTTTAATTTATCTGGTTACTTCAGAAGTATTCATTTATGAAATAAATAGAATTTTTTTTTTCAGTGATAAGCTAAACACCTGTCATCAGAAATTGATCTTTTTAGGCATTTTGATTTAATTCATAATGTAATAATTTAATTCTGGTTATAAAAACCATTTGATTGGCTAAAAAAATTACTTTATATTGTATAAATTGGGTTGGCTACGTCACAATGACTTGCGTCAAAAAACGTATATCAATCCGCCTAACGTTACATTTAAATTTTGTACAATTTGAAGTCATTTTTTAAGGGCAATCATCTTTTTTCTTACACTAAATGAATGAAAATTAAATTATAAGGAATGAATTTAATAGCTACCCAATTTATACGGTATAAAGTGGGTTGGAACAGTTTATGCTTTTTTATAAACCGCTTTGCAGTTTATAAAGGGTAAACTGCCCCAGCCCAGTTCATACTGTATAAATTGGGTAGCTATTAAATTCATTCCTTAATTGAATATACATGATGATTTTATATGTTTTATTTGAATAAATATTTGGAAGCATAAACAAGTCTGCCTTTGATATTCACACACCAGATGAACCTGAAGCCAATGCTAGAAATTTAAGAGATAGGCTAGACTCTCCTTATCATGCCCTCTGCTGGCAAAAAATGTGTTCATTCACAACAAACACCTGAGTTCCTTTGCATCAATTGAGATATCCATCCAAAATTAGCTTTTTTTAGAACTGTTTTATAAATACAATGCTTACCTGTAACATTTTATGCTGCTGTTGTAGAGAACTAAGTCTGCTTGCATACTCTCTCTGTAATAAGATAGGAAAAAAAGAACATAATATAATAAAAATCTACACAATAAGAGATTCAATAGTATGATATGTTTCATTAGTGATATTTTGCAATATGATACTTTGTAAATATAATCACTTCATAATTGTCTATACTTTGACCTTTCAGCTAAATTTTGAAAGAGATGGAAAATGGGTTTCAATCAAAAGATTATAAAACATTAAGTTGCCTTTATGTACCCCAAACAAAAAGAGAGTAAATGATTGTAGAAGTTCAACAAATATAAAGTTGACCTTGATCTCTTAACTCTAAGTCCATTACAAATGCTTAGAGACACAGTTTTTTTTTTAATCTAATAGAATCGTGTTTTATAAGAAAACAAAAGGTGAAAGACCTTAATATTTTAACTTCTATTTAGTTTACAGTTGCATTATTTTGTAAGCATCATCTATACTGACTTTCATTAGACTTGAAGTGTACAACACAGTTATATGCTCACCAATTGTGTGTTTATGATCAGAGATTATCAAAATTCAGAGCCCATTTTCTCAAAGCATCTACACTCAAGAGTCAACCTTTTCTCTGAAATACAGCTGGGGTAGAATTTGTTGGTAACAATCCAAACTCAGATTTATGTGCATGATATATTCAGGCAGTTTATATTTACTGCAGATGTTCTAGAGTTTTGCTTTTAAGTAAGGGGCATTACTCTTTCATTTACCTATCTGCCATGTAGAAAACGGTTTTGAGGTTTAGAGAGTAATCTAGTGTCATAAAAAAATATTGTAAAAGTAGATGATGTCACTTTTAATTACACTTTCGTTGTACAAAATGAGCAAAAATTAATATGTTATCAAATACATTAAAATTTTGAAATCTTAAGATCAAACTTGTAAATTTTAATTTTCTTTTTTAGTAGGTAGAATTACATACCTTTTCTCTTTCATATGCCTGACGATGATCTTCTGCCTCAGTTAAGGTGTCTATAAAATCATATAGTACAATATTTAGCCACACTGTATTCAAGCAAGACTATATATATAATTTATATATATATATATGTAAACCTTAACTTTCTCAGGAAAACTAAATGAGGAAAATGCATATCATGGTTGAATGATCAGACAATAATATGATGACAGATTACTGTATACATTAAAATGTACAAGGAATAAATAATTAATTTACTATTTTATGATGTCAAACCATTTCCACAACCACTGGTCTTAAATTTACAACACATACTTCGTGAATGATAGTTAAGCATTATACTTCTACAGTGAAAAGATCTATTGTGTGATACGTGTTAGCAATTATGATTGACAAACTTTACTGCACTTTAAAATAACACTGATAAAAATTTAAAAGTAAATGTGAGAAAATAACTGTGTTTCCTTTATTGTTTAAAAGAAAGATTTTTATTTCCTGAACTGAGCTAATGGTAAAGAACTTTTTTTAAAAAATGGATTAGAAAATTACCAAGAGGCCCATGAGCCATATTGCTCACCTGAGCACTTTGGTTAGAGAAAAGTCGAAGCCAGTTCAGTATTGAAAAGTTAAAATATATATAAGTGGTCCCACCCTACCTCAGGGGGTGATGATTTGAACAAACTTGCTTCCATATTAATATGACTAATCATGGCTTTGCTGTTCTTGAGAAGAAGATTTTTAAATATTTATTCCTATATATTTCCATGTAAAACTTTGATTGCCTAATGAGGCCCCACTCTATCCCAGGGGTCATGATTTGATAAGATTTGAATCTACACTACCTAGGGATGCTTCTGTATTAACATGAGAAATCATGGCTCTGCTGTTCTTGAGAAGATGATTTTTTAAGATATTTCCTATATATACCTATGTATTCCATACATAACTCCGTTCCTGTGATGTGGCCCCATCCTACCCCAAGGGATCATGATGTGAAAACAAATTTGAATCTACACTACCTGAGAATGCTTCCATATTAATATGACTGATCATGGTCTTCCTGTTCTTGAGAAGATTTTTAAAGTTTTTCCCTACATACTCCTATGCAAAACTTTGATCCTCTATTGTGTTCCTACCCTAGTCCCGGGGGTCCTTACCTGAGGATGTTTCTATATTAATAAGATTACACATGGCTTTCTGTTCTTGAGAAAAGATTTTTATGCCCCGTCATGAATATGGCCGGGGCATATAAAGTTTGTCATGTCTGCCTTCCGTCTCGCTTTGCATTTAGCTCATTTCAAAGCTCAGTTTCAAAGAAACTATTCAAGTTATTTTTATCAAACTTCATATGCTGATACATATTGATGAGAGCTATTCAACTGCATCAACAATTTTTGACCTTGTCCTTTCCTTTGACCTTGACCTCACTTTTCTTAAATCAGTGTTTAACTCAGTTTTAAAGAAACCAATCAAGAAAGTGTTATTAGTGGACATATTTCTAGTTAAAGATATTTCCTATATGTTCCTGTGTAAAATTCTTGTCCTCTGTTGTGGTCCCACCCTATTCCCAGGGGTCATGATCTGAACAAACTTGAATTTATACTATGTAAAGAAGCTTTCACATAAGTTTCAACTTTTCTGGCCCACTGGTTTTTGAGAAGATTTTGAAAATGCCATTTATTGCCAAACTTTATCCCCTTCACTGAAGGGTGCTTTGTGGTAATTTTGGTTGAAATTGATCCTGTGGGTCTGGAGAACAAGTTTAAAATGTGAAAGTTACGACATCACCATAACAACAACGACAATGGACAAATTTTGATCAGAAAAGCTCACTTGAGCCTTTGGCTCAGATGAGCTAAAAAGCATAAGTACTGTGGAATCATCACTGTTCATGGGGGACCAATGTTTGTGGATTTCGTGGGTCAACCTTACCCATGAATATACATCCCCACAAACAACTTTGTCAATGTACATGAAGAGTATATGTTAAACACAAAATTATGATTCCATGAACCAGTAAAAGTTTGGTTTCTCAAGAACAATGACCCCCATGCATTAAAATGATTCCACATTAAATAATGAAATAAAATTATTTTGTGTAATGTACTTTTGTAATGTACTTTAAAATGGTTACATTTGACACAGTTGAGGGGACAGAAGATGGAATGTGAAGTAAAGTACAGTAAATTGTGCATCTAATATTAACTAGAAAACAATCCAAAAGCACCTGCTTGTAATAAAAAAAAAACCACAATTTGCATTTGTAAAAATACTACAAAGCTCACCTCAATGAAAGTCATGTATAAGGAGTGAGGTAAGATTTTCATATCAAATGAAAATCAAGTAAGATGCATTAGTTGCTTTCATCAATACAATGTTTTAGTATGAGATTTTCATATCAAATGAATATCAAATAAGATGCATTAGTTACTTTCATCAATACAATGTTTTAGTATACACTTCTGGAAAATATAGAACCCGAGGCCATACTGGGGTAACATGTATCTCTAAATGCATCATCCATGCAATATGGTCTAGGTTCACCTAAGGGCTTATGGTACTTAGGGCTACCTGGACCATTTTGCATGGATGCATTCCCAAGGGCTTCTGGTACTTGGGAAATGACCTGCTTCAACAACCTAAATCTGGTCACTCTTCCAGAAAATACACTCAGGTAAAAGACAACTTGAAAATATTAGTCAGACATGGCACCCAAGGCATAAATGGTTGTAAGCAACCTTAGAAGCACCATAGAGATGAAGTTACAGTTATCTGGAAATGGACCTCAGGATTTGAATTATCAGTTGCCAACTCTCTACTTTGTTTAGGTGAGCTAATAGAGTATGCTTTCCCTACAGAGTTGCTATCACCATATTTTCCATAGTAATAACCCAGTTATATGTTAAATAGTTATAAAGAATGGTATTAACACAAACCCACTACATACCTTGTAACCGTGACTTCATAACTTAATTAAAACATGCAATGAAGGTAAAATATTTTAGAGTCTAAAGCATAACAACTAAATACAGAAATAAACCAATATCAAGAGGTGCACTGGCCATTATGATACACTCCAATGAAAGGATTAGACGATAGATAACTGATTAAAATATTAAGGGAAGACAAACAACAATTGTTTCTGTAGGATGGTATTTTAATACTTCAATCCTCAATTTACAAAAAGTAAATTGAGTTGTGTCCCTTTATGGGATCAACTCAAAGGTCAATAAGGAAAGAATCATTGTTTCTCTTCATTAATTAATGCTACCAAACATCTACACATGCTGCAATAAATTCAATGTGTTTCTTTAAATTTTTTTCTTTCATGTTTGGTCCAGGTTATAGTTACTTGGGAATAGACTTGCTCCAAAAACTTGTTCAGTCATCTGGAAAGCGTAGGTCAGATCAAGCATCTGAAACAAGACCAATACTGTGCATCCCTAAATTTAAATTCCATGCATGTTTGGTCCAGATAGGGTGAAGTTACACTGCTACAAAAACTTTAATCTGGTCACTCATCCAGAAAATGTAGATCAAATTGAGCATCTGAAGGAAATCTATTAGTGCCCATCCTTTGATGCATCAGCAATACGTTTGATCTTGGTACGACTTAAAGTTACTTGGAAATGAACTGCTCGAAAAACTTTAATCTGGTCATGCAGACAGAGAATAAAGGTCAAATTCAGCATCAGAAGCAAGTTCTATAGTGTGCTTCCCTAAATGCAAATTCTATGCATGTTTAGTCCAGATAGGGTTTGAAGTTACACTGGATTGAGTCTGAAAACTTTAACTTAGTCACTCATCTGGTAAATGTATGTCAAATCCTGCATTTGAAGCAACTCTGGTTGTGTGCTTCCCTTGATGCATCATCCATCAAAGTAAGATACAGGTAGGCATTCTTGTTTCTTGGTAACATACCTGCTCCAAAAACGTTAACCTAGTCACTCATCCAGAACATTTGGGTAAGATCCATCATCCAAAGCAAGTCCAGTAGTGTGCAGAAAAAAATGTATCATCAATGCAAGGTTGGTCAGCATAGGGCTTATAGTTACTTTAGAATGAACGTGCTCCATGAACTTTAATGTGGTCGGAAAATGTAAGTCAAATCCACATTCTAATGCAACTTTTTTGTGAAATGCATTTTGATTGTATAATACACTGATATTTGAGGCAACTAAATGAGCATTAAAGAGAATGAAAGCTTTTGATTGTGACATCATAATAGAACAACATAAAAACAAAATGCTTCATGACGTATTTCATGTAACAAACTCAACAAAATAAGAAATAAACATCAAACAAAATGCATAAATTCGATAAGAATGGGAATAACTATCTTCTCATTTATTATTTGTGATCATTAATGCTGATTTAATGATCGCAAACATCCGTTTTAACGGCTCCATTTACGCAGCCCCAGTAAAACTCTGTTTAAACATTAAACCATTAAATCAGCATTAACAATTACAAATAACGAATGAGAAGACAGTTATTCCCTAAATCCTAACCAAGTCTGGTAGTATGCATCTTTGATGTATCATCTCTGCAAGTTTGGAACATAGGGCTTATAGTTATTTTTGAATGAACCTGCTCCAAAAACTTTCACCTGGTCACTCATTCGATCAGATCCAGCATCTGAAGCAAGTCTCGTAGTGTGCCTCCTTATACGTATAATCTCTGCAAGACTGGTCAAAATAGGCCTTATAGTTACTTGGAAATGAGTAAAAACTTTAACTTTCTCCAAAAACCTTAATCTGCAGCAAAAACATAAACCTTTACTTAGTGGATTTATCACAGCATGCCTATATGTTTGGTGGCATAGAGCAGAGAATCAGAGAAACATTGTTTCTTTTCCATTTGTCCTTTTGGTTGACCCTACAAAGAGGATTCCTACAAAGGGGCACAACTCTGCAAAGTGTGGACTGGACTATTCCCAAAGCAGAGATGCAGCCGAGGGACATAAATTTGCATAATATTCAAACATCATATTTGCAAAATTTGCAAATGCTGAAATTACGCTACTTTTGCATGATAAAATAGCAAATATTTCGAGCAGCAATTATCCTATTGAAATCAAGCGTCTCAGATTGTGCTGGATCTACTAATGATAACCAAAATGATAATGATTTTTACATGCACTAGGGACTACTCACTATTTTTATACATACTTCTATAAAGCTCATTCTAACCTTGTAGCTTGTTGGAAAGTTTTTCTTGTTCTTTGCGGACCCTTTCCCCAACTAGTCTGGAGTTTTCTAGTTTCTCTCGTGTTTCATGATATTTATACATTGTATACAGCCATCCCAGCAAAACAAGAGCTATGACAACAGTTTTAATGGCTCCTGAATTTCGTGTCATCGTTGTGTTTGTGGATGCAAACATTTACAACAAAAAGTCAAGCTGACAATCACCTAGAACCAGGGTGACACGTTTCCTCCTGTCTGCATCAAAACAAATATGGCGACGTGTCAACACTGAATTGTGGGAATAGGTTTACCTGTCTGAAAGGTAGAAATAAAGGTTGGTCGAGTAAAATTAAATAGCGCATGAATAAATGCAGACTTTACACCATATACAGGAGTAATTTATCAATATTAAAGACCATTACCGTTGCAAATTCGTAAACCACCAGTTAAAAAAAAATGTTTCGACACATCAACTCGTACACCGACACATTCCGAATCCGAGAAATCGATACAAAAAGTATTCGTATAACTTCGGTCTTTTCATGAACCCACCTAGGCAGAAATTGGGGCTGAAAATGACAAAAGATAAAACAAAAAAAATGTATCCGCTACATAATGACCCCAAATTTATCACTTATTCAAAAAATTAAAAAACCACGGATAATTTTAGGCTAATTTGTGTGTGTGTGTCGGGGGGAGGGGGGGGGTAACATTGACAAGATACTTGAAAATACAAAATGTCTATTATCGGGAAAATAGGTGTAAACCACAGCATTCATGTTTTCTAGAATGAAAATTAGTAATATATATTTCCAGTTTCCATATGGGAAACATGCAGGGAAACTACAGGTTGTTTGCTTCCATGTCGGGAATCTACGTGGAAACCACTACTGCATGTTTCCAAGGTTTCCCATATTGGGAAACTTACAGGAAATCACATCACAGGTTGATTGTTGCCATATCGGGAATCTACGTGTAAACCACTATGTGGTTTTCCATAAAATGGAAACTACTGATGACACGATTCCCAAATGTGTTTCCATCAGGTTTCCAAATTTTGTAAACCTGGCTTTTCATCCTGTATTTTGACAAGCAAAAAATAAAAAAAAAAAAAAAGAAAGAAAGAAAAAAACAAACAAACTAAAGGAATGTTCGCCCATGGATACTCGAAGATTACCTGTTAAAGGTGCTTAGACACAGATTTGAAATTAATATTTACTCAAATTTTCTGTATAATTTCATGACTTATATGTTGCTATAGCATTTCATACGAAAATTTGATAAAAATCTTATTTTATCTGGAAGTTATTGAAACTTCGAATTTCTGGACGCGTTTGATAGACACATTCTTGCACTTTCACAAATTTTAACTTTATCCTTAGTACTTTAGAAAAGTAGCAATTTTGTTGTTTATTAATGAAAAATTTTAAAACTATAATGCAGAAATTCTAGAGTTGAAATGTAGAAAGCAAAATCCTCTCACCAGTATTGTCAGACCGTGTTCAGTGGTGTGTGCAGAGTTTAACAATTGAACACACCCGGTGAAACGTAAACATTACAACAACAGAGCTCGTGCCCTGTTTAAAAACAGTTTACGTTTCACGGGTGTATTCAATTTGTTAAACTCTGTACACAACTACACAACACTGAGCACGGGCTGACAATACTTAAATGAGTGGGTTTTGCTTTCGCACATTTTTACTCTGAATTTTCTGGATTATAGATGTAATATTATTCATTAATACACAACAAAATTGCTACTTTTCTTAAGTACTGTATAGGGGATTAATTTCACGGGTTGTAATATTCATGTTTTTCTCTCTTCTGACACGATCGCGGTTTGTTGAATTCGCGGAATTGGTATATAATAAAAGCTACCTCCCTTGTCTATATCCGTTTAATCAATAGCTAGAACGACATTAATCAGCGTTATGTATTCACTTCACGAACAACAGGGTAGGTTTATATAAAATAGTTAAATTTGTTAATTAATTGACGATTAATTAAGACAAGTGCAGTTATTAAAAGTCCTTGACTATAAACGTCGAATGACTTTCCTATGTGCTATTACGTTGAATGCATGTACACCCCAAGATCTTCTTTCCGAAGGGATAATACATCGCGGCGAAAAACTACTGGAGGGTAAGAAATGTGTTAATGTAGGTCGACGAAATAATATCCTTCCACATCTTCAGCAAGTTCAATAGTTATCTGAATGATTTCTTAAAAACAAAATGTCGATAATAACATGATAATGCAGGTAACAAACACACGTAGCAACATAGTTACGCACGGGTAATCAAATCCCATGACCCACGTGTTTTGATTGATTAAACATGTATCGTTGGCGATTAAAACAGCTTTTTTTTCTTTTTTTTTTTTTTTAACAAATACGGGTTATTATCTGCTGATCTAAATTAAAGTAAAGCGTGATACTAAAATAATTGAATGACAAGTACGACTCGTAATTACTGAAATGACCATCTACTGCATGTATATATACCTATCGTAGTCTATTCTCAAATTTACAAATATAACATGGAGGTTATTTAAAACTTATTCACTGTTTCTTTAATTCACGGATTAATTGACACCGTGAATATAGCGAATATTAACACCGCGAGTTATTTTCCCCCTATACAGTATTGAGGATAGAGTTAAAAATTGTGAAAATGCAAGGATGTGTTAATCAAACGCCTCTCGAAATTCGTAGTTTCAATAATTTCCAGATTAAATAAGGTTTTAATTTTATTTTCGTGTGAAATGCTATAGAAACATATAAGTTGTGATATTATACAGAAAATTTAAGAAAATATAAACTTCAAATCTGTGTCTAAGCACCTTTAATGTTACCTGTTACAATACCACGTGCCTGAATTCAGTGAAACCAAGATCAGGCCCATAGAACACGGGGGAGGGGGGAGGAGCCCCCACTTTTTTCTGAGTATACTACATGTATTTCGCTAAAGTAAAGTAAATTTTCAATATTAGATACTGCCCCCCCCCCCCCCGGCCCCATACACACACAATTTTTGTTGCTGTAAGATCGAGCACTGGCAAATTCCAGGATTTGGACAGTTAAGACTTAAGGATATTTTTTACCCTTTTTTAATTACATGCATATCATTTTATTTATTTATTTTTTTATTTATTTATTTATTTTTTTTTTTTTTTGCTTGTCAAGAAATTTTTGGTAGTTGATAGTGCCCCCTCAACTGAAAATGTATGGCTGTGCCCCCCAAACTGAAATTGCTTCCTACGGGCCTGGATAGGATATCATTTTAAAGGACTACATGTGACATGATAGTACAAAAAAAGCAATGGAGAGAGTTTGAAATTAAAATGATACATGTATTCCTTTTCCTCCCTAATATTTCGGCAAAAGCAGGTAATTTTTACCTCCACTTAGTAAGGTTATTCATGTTGTAAATTTTGCATTTACCTCCATCTAGTAAATTCAAAATTTACAACATGATAGCACGGTGGTGGTACGTGGTCCCCCCTTCAATAATCGATATACATTTGTATAGTATAGACCACAAAGCTACTTTATGGATGTACCCTCTCATTTATTACTTCTGATGACCTTGTTTCCTCTTTGTCAAGGAACGTTTGCTTGGTAGTGTCCCCCAACTGAAAATGTTTGGTTGCCCCCCCCCCTCCCCACTTAAGCTGCTTCCCAGTGGCCTGGAATTTTGTGACTTTGGCGTCCATATACATGTATATGGATCACAATCAACAGAGATACACGTAATTTGAATTAAATACTGATCGAGTTACTGTAAAATTCACAATACCACAGAATATCATAGATATCGTTTAATAAACAACACTTTTTAATTTCAAATTCATACAAGATGCAAGTCGTTTTTTTGGGTGGGGTGGGGTGGGGTGGGGGGGCTCTTCTTCACATTTGTGTGCTGAGAGAGTCTAAGGGTATCAAAAACACCTGGCTTGCAAACACGGAGAGAATGGATTGTGGGTACTTTTAAAAATAAATTAAAAACTGCACTTCAAAGTATAGGCACGCAACGTGCGTTGTTTCAACGCTGACAATATACTTCAACGTTCTTACAAAGTAGAAACACTTTTGAAGATGCAAAATATTTTCAACGTTGAATGTTTGTTGATATTTCAACTTTGAAACAACGTTTAAGAAGATATTTTCGACAGTTACAATTAGTTACATAGGGGGAGGGGGTAACAGCCCTTCATTTCAGTGGAGAAACTTGACCCCTAACTCCCAAGGATGCTCTGTGAAAAGCTTGGTTGAAAGGACTATATTCTGTAGTGGCCAGTATCTGCCCCCAAAATAAAACTTTGATGGAGAAATCTTTAATTATGTTCTAAACCAGGTGGATATTTGCAGACTTCAAAGCATTAAATATTTTTATCAACTATGACATCATTAGTTAGATATGACGTCAATAAAATGACGTAAATTCCAAATTGCAATGCTTTTGAGAGAAAATAGCGTATTTTACGTCGGTATTTTGATTGGAAATTATCGAGCGCAGGTCTGCTCAGACTAGATCTTTTGATATAATGTGTAGAATGATAATATCAATGAAATATGTGAATATGGTACCTGAGCAAGCTTGCGCTCTATAAAAACTATAGTCAAAATTGAACAAACTCTGTGCATTTTGGCCTCTATTTTAAAAATAACGGAAATTCAAATAGTTTGTGACGTCACAGAGACAAGAAAAGCCAGCTAATTTTTCCAATTTCATAATATATTGTCTTAATTTGGATTATTTTATACAATATATGCACTATTTCTCATTTCAAGAGATTTTCAAAATTTGACTATTATGGGGGCAGGAATACGCCCTTACCGTATATAGTTCTTTGCAAACAAGACAAAAACATAGCCTGACTAACTCCTGAAGAAGTTCCATCTCAATATGAAGGTACAAACTACAAGTACACATAGTACGGGGGGCGGGGGATTTTTCCAGACAATCTTTTGCCTTGTGGTACAAGGTATTTTAGGATACTATCCCGATTTTACACAGCAAAATAATGACTTTATCTAATTTTAGAATTTGTAGCCCTGCATTATTGAAAGAAATATTAAGATTTTCATTTATTTATTTATCTTTTGCAAACATCTAAACCTTTCTGAGTCCCAGTCCCTTTTTAGGGTAGGGTTGGTGTTGGGGGGAAGGGGATGGGGGGCTTTTCAAGAATTCTTTTTTGAAGGCTCTTCTTTGAGAGACGAAAATGAAATACACTAGTACTTGTAGGTTAATACAGGTAAACATATGTAAATCAGGTCACTGAAAAGCGATATCATCTATATGTACTCGCAGAAAAGTAGGCAAAAGGTTTTGGAAACAAAAAGCCCCTGGATCACAATGCTCACTTGAGTCACTTTGATCCTGCTGTTCTGCATCATATTTACAAATTTATATGCACTCCTTTGTAAAAATTTGATCTCTCTCTGTGACCCCAACCCATACACTGTAACACAGGGACCATGATTTCAACAAACTCGAATCTACATCACCCCAGGATGCTTCCACATTATGACTTAACATAGCTTTCTTGAGAAGATTTTTCCCTATATAAACCTATGTAAAACTTTGATTCCCTATTGTGGCATTACCCATAATCAGACCATGACCTGAACAATTTACTATTTACACTACCTCAGGAAACTTTCATCTTTTCTGGTTCTTAAAATAAGATTTGAAAGGACCCCCACCCATATATTTCAATGCAAAACTTTGATCCCCCATTGTGACTCTGCCACCAGAGGACATGATTTGAACTATTGATAATTTACATTTTCCCATGAAGCTTTCACATAAGAATCAGCTTTTTTGATCCAGTGGTTCTTGAGAAGAAGATTTTTAAATGACCCCATCCTATTTTTGCCTTTCCTTGATTATCTCGTCTTGGAAGGGGGCTTGGCTCATGCATCCTTTCAAAAATTTAGAATCCCCTTTACCCAGGAATGCTTTGTACAAACTTTAGTTAAAATGGGCCCAGTGGTTCTTGAGAAGAAGTCAAAAATGTGGAAAGTTTACAGATGGATGGACAGATGCCGTACAACAGATGATCAGACTTGAGCTTTGAGTTCAGGTGAGCTAAAAATCGCAGAAAACAGCTGAAAGTAGGAGAGTCTTACTGAAATACACATAAAATCACCGATTTTCCCTAGAGTGCAATCCAAATGATAATCCGAAGAAAAAAGTTTAAGACTTTTTACATAGATGACTTCATAACAAATGCACTGAAGTCGATTCATCATTGCCGTTTTTAGTAAACAAATTTTGTGGCATATCATTTAATTTGGAACAGGGTTGAATTTGACCCCAAACATACCTTTCAAATCTCAACAGCATAAAACGCTATATAGAGCATAAATTGGACAACTTGTAGCTTTGTAAGTTCTTCTTAATAATAAGATTTTTAGGTCACCCGAGTCCCTCAGGTAACCTATTGTTATCTGTTTTTGTCCCTCGTCGTGCGTCGTCCGTTAACTTTTGAACATTTTCAACTTCTTCTCTAGAACCGCTATACCAATTTCAACCAATTTTGGCATATAGCATCTTTCGGTGAAGTGGAATAAAAATTGTGAATTTCATGGACCCTGCCCCCCTAGGGCCCCAGGGGTGGGGCTAAAACCATCAGAATTGATGCAATCTTTAAAAATCTTCTTCTTTACTCCTGGACATCAAGCAGTCAAACTCTTGGCATGATTGTAATAAGCAAAATTGTGAAATTCATGGCCCCAGGGTCAGGGGTTCTGGTGCTAGGGCGGGGCTATATAGATCGTATAGTGAAAGTACATTATTTCTTTGAAAATCTTCTTCTCTTCTCCTGGGTATCATTTAAACAAACTATGTGCATGGTTATTATATGCATTGATGCCTTTTCCAAAATTGTGATTTTCATGGCCCCCGGGTCAGGGGTTTTGGTATTAGGGCGGGGCTCTATTGATTTTTATAGTGAAAATGCATTTATTCTTTGAAAATCTTTTTCTCTGCTCCTGGGTATTATTTAAACAAACTAAGTGCATGGTTATGATAAGCATTGGTGCCTTTCCCAAAATTGTGATTTTCATGGCCCCCGGGCCAGGGGTTTTGGTATTAGAGCGGGGCTCTATTGATTTTTATAGTGAAAATGCATAAATTCTTTGAAAATCTTCTTCTCTGCTCCGGAGTATTATTTAAACAAACTAAGTGCATGGTTATGATAAGCACTGATGCCTTTTCCAGAATTGTGAAATTCATGGCCCCTGGGTCAGGAGTTCTGGTGTTAGGGCGGGGCTCTATTGATAATATAGTGAAAATGCATTAATTCTTTAAAAATCTTCTTCTCTGCTCCGGAGTATTATTTAAACAAACTAAGTGCATGGTTATGATAAGCATTAATGCCTTTTCCAAAATTGTGAATTTCATGGCCCCATGCAGGGTTGGGGAGGGGGGGGGGGCTCTATTGATTATATATATTGAAAAAGCATAATTTCTTTGAAAATATTCTTTTCTGCTCCTGGTCAAAAAGCAAAGAAACTAAGTATATAGTTATGATGAGCAAGAGTGCTTCTTCCAGAATTGCGAGTTTCATGGCCCCTAAGTCAGATGTTCTGGTGTGAGGGTGGGGCTCTATTGATAATATAGTGAAAATGCATTAATTCTGTTAAATAATCCTGTCTGCTCCTTAATATAGAGCAGATAAACAAAGTGCATAGTTATGATGAACAATTGTGCTTCATACAAAATTTTTAAAACTTATGGTTCCCAGGTTTTGGTGTTTCTCGGGGCCAGGGGTAGGGGTGGGGAGGGGCTACATTAATAATAAAGTGAAAATGTGTTAATTCTTTGAAAATCTACAACTAAGTGCTTAGTTATGATGATGAGGGTATACCTCTTCCAAATTTGTGAATTTCATGACCCTGGGACATGGGTTTTAGTGTTAGGGTAGGGCTGTGTTGAATCTATAGTGAAAATGCATTATTTCTTTGAAAATCTTCTCTGCTCCTTGGCATATTGAAGGCAAACAGAATAAAAGATTTAATGAGCAAGGATATTTTTACCAGATTTTTGAACATCAGAACCATTTGGTCGAGTGTTCTGGTCCTGGCCAGGGCTCTATTAATTTGTATTCAACTGAGAGAAGTTATTCCCCTTTGCCATTCATTTTTGATAATTAATCACTGTAAATAATGTATTTGAAAGTTAAAAGAATAAGAGAATTATGCCAAAAAAATTATTGTATAATACAAAAAGTACTTTCATAGTTTTAATGATCAGGTAGACTTGTAAATAATGAATAAATAAACATAGGTAATCAAAGATTACGAAGCTCACCTCGACGAAGGTTATCTATAAGTAAGGCAAATCTCGCATCATATTTTTTCTAGTTAGTGTTCATCCCAAGATCAATATCCATACAAGTTTGGTTTAAGAAGGACTTATAGTTACTTAGAAATCGGGCTCTCACACGACTTTTTGGGACTGGGGCCAGGGCTGTTCAAATTTAGAAAATTTTCATCATCTTAGGTAAAATTGGGAAAACCTGGTTCCTTATCAAAGTCGAATCAGCTTAAGAATATAGGTGGCATGCACTAATTTATACAGTTCAACACAGAACTAGTTTGTTTCACTCTCACTTGTTGGCAATTAAGTTTCATTGATTAAGATTTAAAAAAAAAAAATACTTTGCCATAAAAGAATTGGGAAATTTACACTTTGCTTTTGGGAAAAAAGGTACCTTTTTTGCATTGGGAATGGGGCTGTTCAATGGCCCCATTATAGAGAATCGAGAGCCCTGGAAATAGACCTGCTCAAAAAACTTTAAACCTGTTTACTATAATCAAGAAAATTTTGGTCAGTTCCAACATCCAAAGCAAGTCTTGAAGTTTTCATCCTTAGATCCACCGTCCATGCAAGTTTAATCATAACATGCCATAATATTATATAGCTACTCCAAAAACATTACCCTGGTCACTCATCTGGAAAATGTAGGTCAGATTCAGAATCCGAAACAAGTCTGAAAGTGTCCATCCTAAGATACATCATCCATGCTAATTTGATCAAAATATGGCTAAAATTCACTCATCTGGAAAATCTAGGTCAGATTCAGCATCCGAAGCAAGAGTGGTAGTGTCCATTCCTAGATGAAATCATCCATGCAAGTTTGGTTCAGGTAGGGCTTATAGTTACTTGGGAATGGAACTGCTCCAAAAAACTTTAACCTGGTCATTCATCTGGAAAATCTAGGTCAGATCCAGCATCCGAAGCACATGTGGTAGTGTCCATCCCTAAATGCATCATCCATGCAAGTTTGGTCCAGGTAGGGCTTATAGTTACTTGGGAATGTATCTGCTCCAAAAACTTTAACCTGGTCATTCATCTGGAAAATCTAGGTCAGATCCAGCATCTGAAATAGGTGTGGTAGTGTCCATCCCTAGATGCATCATCCATGCATGTTTGGTTCAGGTAGGGCTTATAGTTACTTGGGAATGGACCTGCTCCAAAAACCTTAACCTGGTCACTCATCTGGAAAATCTAGGTCAGATCCAGCATCCGAAGCAAGTGTGGTAGTGTCCATCCCTAGATGCATCATCCATGCAAGTTTGGTCGAGGTAGGACTTATAGTTACTTGGGAATGGACTTGCTCCTAAAACTTTAACCGGGACGCCAATGCTTATAAACGCCAACGCAGGGGGTATAGCATAAGCTCATCTCAACTTCGTCGAGGTGAGCTAAAAATGAGACAAAAATAACTTAATAAATGTTCTTCAAAGACCAAGAGAGGCCAATGTGAGAGGTCACAATATGGGGTTAAAAGTAGTACAGAAGAAGTAATAGTTTGTTGATCGTCTGCATGGTGATAGTGCTAAATGGGGGATAGATTAGAATTTAATGTACGAGTTGTAACTGAATACTAGACTAATTATTTCATTGATTCTGATCATCCTATTTCTCTTGCTTTTCGGTAACAAAGCTTCATCTATCAGTTTATTTTATACGCTATGGATCCTCTAAATTGTCGTATTATACACAGGTGACTGTTAAGGCCCTTGGGCCTCTTGTTAAAGATTTTTTTTCCAGTGAGAGATGTTTCTCTTTGGTCCTGGCCACAAGACCAAAATCTGAGACACATTTTCAAACTAGTAAAACTTTAGAAATAATTTTGGGGAAACTCTGTGTTTGTATGTGAATATTATACAAACATGCAACTTTTAAAACATGTTTGTTAAATAAAAATCAAGATATTCAAAATCTTAATCTCAGTTTATGGTCATGGGGCCAGATTGGTGGTGGAAAAAAAAACACATTTCAAGATAAAATCAGTTTATGATATACTTTATCATTTAAATACTCATATGCATAATACTGGAAAAATAAAACATCAATATAAAATAAATGTACATGTAGACTGAAATAAACGAAATTAAAAAAAATGGCATGTACATAAATATTTTGAGATATTTTAAAATATGATGCACCTATGCTCTAAATATTCTGTAATTTTGATTAAAAAGAATTTTGAATACAATTTAACTTCATAATGACTTAAAAATGGTAGATCACAAATGTATGACATTTTGTAAAGAAACAAAACATAAATGGGGGATTTTTTTTTAGGTTAAAAAGAGATATAATTAAAGATATTTAACAATAGGATGCTGACAGCTGATTTAATAAGGTCAGCTTGTGACATCTATGGCCAACAACATTTAATTGCTATCTAGTACTTTCTTTAGATGCACCTCACTTGACAAATTAATAAGAATCTAACATAAAAGATAATCTAATCTAATCAAGTGTCCATATTCCAATATGTTGCACAGTAGAATTAGAACTTTGACTGGTTTTTATTTGAACATGAAGTAATTCCCAAAATAAATCCCAGGTCACAAAGTTCACCATACAATGTTACTTTCTACAATTTAATAATGACCTTTTCTATGCTACTGAACTAAAGAATATTTCAACTATTTTTCATCTTCTTAAAATAACAAAAAAGGCCTTCTAGGCATATGCAACTTTGACTTTTTTTAATATCTCCTCTTTCACCTCAACTTTAAAAAGTCGATGATAAGGTTTTAAATTAAGTAATGTTTCTAGGCTTAAAAGTTGAATAAACTCACATTTGATTCAGTAATAATGTTTGACTTCATAAAAATAAAATATTAAAAAATTCCATTACCCCCAAGATCTCTTCTTTGGTATTTTAAGTGATGTCACTAAAATATATCAAAATAAAGACTGAAGAGGTTTGCACCCTATAAATTTCAAAATTAATTTGCACCCTATGAATTTCAAAATTAAAAGAAAATCAAAATTGAACAAATTTTTCACCTTTATCCTCTTGCAAATTTCAGAAAATTCCTTCAGGGATTCAATTCTCTTAATAATTTCATATTCTGCTGTCATTTCCATGATAATAAAGTAAATTAATCTATTTTTGAGAAGTCTTAAACAAGGAGATTTTATATATATTGCTATATCCATTTACAACTTGAATACCATATGTTGAAGTCCCCACCACTTTTTCTTTATGTATTTTAACCTCAATATCATAATTTCTTTAAAATCTTTTTTTTTTTTTTTTTGCCCATCAAGTTAAAGAGGTTAGAGGTTAGACTATATGCGATTTTGATATTTTACAAATGTAAAACTTAATTAACAGATTGTAACCCCCAATTTTGTGGCTTTATTTTTTAATTATACAGTCCACAGGGACCTTGTTTCAAAAATATGATCATAACTTAATCCTTTTCTATAGATATTTAAAATGCTTTTCCTATTTATCATTAAGAAAAACATTGAATGTCCACTATTCTGGCTCAATTCTGACCAAGGAATAACTTTCAAGAGAATTCTGAATGTATACACTCATAAAAAGCTAGTAAATTATGTCTTTTCTGACCCAGTGATTCCTGAAAAATGATTCCCTTGGAAGGGTCTAAGTTTAAGAATTTTAATGAATTTAATATATACACCATTTTACTAAAGTATGCTTTATACATAGTAAAATGAGCCAAGTGGCAATAGAAAGACAGATGCCATATAGATAAACATATGCCTCCTACTCAGGTAAGCTAAAAATCAAGACAATAAAGACCAAGGACATCCATATTGGTCTTTCAAATCTGTTACTATATTCTTGTGATTAATGTACTTACATAAGAATTATCAAGCATAAAAACCATGCTGGGAGTGCATGTAACCAATTATTGAGTATTTTAGATGACATATTTGAATACATGTAAATAATGATGTCATAAATATGTGTAATTTTAACATATTTTTCCTTTGTAGGACAAAACAAGCATTTGATGTATCTTTGTGATGATCTGCTTTGCTACTATGTACATGGAACCCATGGGTCACAACACTCACCTGGGTAATTTTGGCCCTACTGTTTTAAGTCCACCATAATCCTAAGAATTTTTTTGACCTTATAATTTTGATTTGATCCTACCCCTGGGGCCAAGATTTGAAAAAAAAAACTTGAATCTGCATTACCCAAGATTGCTTGTATATAAATGTCATTTATTAAGGTCTGCTTTTCTTGAGAAGTTTTAAAAAGATTTTTCATTCATTTTTCTATGCAAAACTTTGATTTTTTATTGTGGCTCCAGCGGGGGCAATGATTTGAACAAATCTGAACATGTGCTACCTGAGAATAGTTGTATAATATGATCACTAATCAGGGTCACACCATTCTTTAGATTTTTAAATACATTTCCTTATATTCCCATGTCATGTTAAACATTGATCCCTTACTATGGCCCAATATAGCAGGGGCCATGATTTGAACAAACTTGAATCTGCACGACCATAGGATACTTGCATATCAATATCATTAATCATGGCTCTCCTGTTCCTGGGAATAAGATTTTTTCCAATATATTTCAATGCAAAATTGGTATTTCCTTTTGTATCCCTAGTAAGCCAGAGTTCATGAATCTGCACTATCTGAGGATGCTTCCATATCAATATCAATATCACTAACCATGGCCCTGTTGTTCTTCAGATGATGATTTTAATTTTTTTTTCTTTATATATCAATACATGTATAACTTTGATCCCTTACTGTTGCACTCATATCTCCAGACCAGTGCCCATGATTTGAAGAAAAACTTGAATCTGCACTACCTGATGATGCTTGCATATTAATATAATCATAGTCCAACTGTTCTCAAGAGAAAACAAGACGTATTTGTGAAACACTGATGCCCCCGTATGGCAACTTATAGCAAAGGTTAAACTTTCTCAAATGCAAATCAAATATGTTGCTACCCAAAGTAGTCTCGTCTTGAGAAATATACCTGTGAAATATGAAAGGCCTAGCAGCAACCATTGAATAGATATGGAAAAGGTTAAAGTTTTTCAAAAGTAAGTCAATCATGTAGGTCAAGGTCAAATGGTCAAAATTAATGGTGCCCAAGGAGAGGCCTTCTCACAAGAAAGACACGTGAAATATAAAAGCCGTAGTACAAATCGTTCAAAAGTTATGGCCAAGGTAAATGTTTTTCAAAAATAGGTCAAACTCCAAGGTCAAGGTCAAAGTTGTTGGTATCCAAAGGAAGGTCTTGTCACAAGGATTACATATGTGAAGTATGAAAGCTGTAGCACCAACCATTCAAAAAATATGGCCAATGTTAAAGTTTTTCAAAAGTAGGTCAAACTCCAAGGTCAAGGTCAAAGGGTCAAAGTTGTTGGTATCCAAATGAAGGTCTTGTTACAAAAATTTCATATGTGAAGTATGAAAGCCCTAGCACCAACCATTCAAAAGTTATGGCCAAGGTTTACGTTTTCCAAAAGTAGGTCAAACTCCAAGGTCAAGATCAAAGGGTCAACGTTGTTGGTATCCAAAGGAAGGCCTTGTCACAAGGATTGCATATGTGAAGTATGAAAGCTCTAGCACTAACTGTTCAAAAGTTATGGCCAATGTTAAAGTTTGGTAAACTTTTGCAAAAGTGGGTCAAACTCCAAGGTCAAAAGGTCAAATATGGTGGTACCCAAAGAAAGGTCTTGTCACAAGGAATACGTATGTGAAATATGAAAGCCATAGCTCAAACCAATCAAAAGTTATGGTCAATGTTAAAGTTTTTGCGGACAAACAGACAGAAAGAAGGACAGGGCAAAAACTATATACCCCCGAATCTTCGATATGGGGGCATAAAAATCCTAATATTACTTTGTTAAACTTTGATCCCCTATTGTGTGTAGTCCCACCCTTCCCCTGGGGGCCATGAAATGAACAAACCTGTATAAAGAAGCATTCACTTAAGCTTTGTTTCAATGGTTCTGAAGATTTTTTTTTATGATGCCACAAATTTTTCATCATTTCTTAATTATCTCTCCCTTTAAAGGAGGGTATCCCTTCATATGAACAAATTTAAATCCCCTTCATCCAAGGATGCTTTGTGGCAAGGTTTACTAGAAATTTAATAGAGACTGATGGACTGGATCTTCTGTCTTGATCAGAAAACCTTAAGCCTTTGGTTCAAGTGAGCTAAAAATTTACCCAAATTTGATGAAAATTAAATAAGAAGATAAATATTTTGATGGGACAGTAGATAATCAACTGAAATAATTATGTAAATGCATTGTTATCCTATAAACCTATAAAACCAGTACTGTGGAATCATTGTTCCTGGGAGACTAATGTTTGTGAATTTCACGGGTCACCCTTACCTGTAAATTTACATTCCATGAATGATTATTTTTTTACTGTATTGATTCATTGAATCTTCTGTATAAAAAGTTACCCATAAAAGCATGTCCCAACAAATCAATAAAATGTTGCTTGTCCATAAGCATTGACCCTCACGAATTAAAAAATCTACTGTAACAGTACTTGTGTGCATTTAGTAGTTTAGAGTTATAAAAATATTACATACATATTTATGAATAGCTATTTTTTTTTAGGAGTAGGCATTTTAGAAAAATGTAGTCAATAACTGTGCACATACATATAACTTGTTCTTTTAAAGCCAATACTCAAGTACAGTAATGAAACGAAAACGAAATAACCAGACATAGAAATAGATTCTCGTATCAACAGAAAGAAAAACTGTCACAGTTACTACCTATTTATTGAATTTAGAGTTTTAACTATGAGTATTCCTGATATATGTATTTACCAACAGAGACTCTTTTTTTTAAAAGTTATTTTCCAACATACTTTGACCATATTTTTAAGCTATATTGCATCACAATAATTTGAAAACTTACAGGTCATATCACCTAGAGCACTGATCAATTGAAAACAGTTTCATTTAATTAATAATGCTAGTAAAATTGCACCTACAGATTACTTGCATGATTTATTTATTCTACTGGATCACATTCCTTCAGGATTTTTATTCATAAAACATACATAGTAGCCTTAATTAATACATTCTATAACGAACATTTACAAATATGGCAATATTCATGAAATGTAAACAAAACAATGTATATATTGCACCAATTCATATTTCAAATTGTTATAAGCATGGGTTCTTTGGTCCTTACTAAAAAAAAAGAAAAGCAAACAAAATACATACATTCAATACATTTGTCTTTCTATATTCCTACAATTATAATCTACAGCAAGGTTCAGTTAACATTGCAACAAATTAAATCACAATATGGGTTTAATGGTACTAACCATGGCAGATTCCTTAGCAAAGAAACCTTGATTAAAAAATATGTTGAATTTGCATAATTTTCAAGTGATGCCAAGAATTATGCAGGGCATAAATGTGGACCAATACAAAGCATATAAGCAAATTATCACAAAAAAATTTGATTCATATAGCTACAATGTAACTATCAACACTTCACTTCAACATTTCAGTCACACTTCAAATACACTTAATCATGCATGCTAAATAATCGTAAAATAGAAATCTATTGGCACAGGTTTTACATTCAGTAAAAGCAGGTGGATGTAGTATTGAGGTGATGCTTGATGAAATGCTGAAAGGTAATGGTTGATGCTATGGAATTCTGGGTAGTCTCCCTCGTGGATCAGATCTGGATCTTGACAATGTTTTGTTTATAGAGCACCCATGTGACATTTCTGAGGTACCATCACCTCTTACTGTAATAATGTACGTTCCATGGAATGTCACCTCTCCTGGCTGAAGAAGAAGCTAAAAATATAACAGATATGTCCAATGACTATAAGCAAGAATTTCAATGACTTGCATTTAATATTCATATATTTATACAAAATACTGTGACAGTAAAAGTTATAAAGGCAAAAATTACTCTTACAAACCTGAAAAATAATGCTGTACTTCTTAAAATCAAAGAAAGCTATTCATCAGATTACATGTATATATGTATATCGCTATAACTAGATATCAATGAAAAACTGCATTTCCTTATGGACATGCTAAAGTAAATCAATCAAGATCAGAATACTAGATCTCACAGTTTGCTTGCATACATCTTAATTTTGACCTGATGACCTTGAGATCTGAGCAAGTAGCCTCAGTCATAGTCTTTTTTTTTTTTTTTTTTTTACATGGGTGTTAAGTCTGTATGTTGGAACATGCTCTTGTTTTTTTTTTGTTTTTTTGTTTTTGTTTTTTTTTTGTGAAGCAATGAAAGCGTGTTCATATAAAAATAAATAGCTTTGTCCTTGACATGTATATTACCATATATTATCAAAATCAATCAGTATCTTCCTCTAATCACTCGAAACCTGTGTATAAAACTCGGTTTTAAAGGCCAAGGTCAAAATATTGATGCAGTTAAATAACTCTCATCAATATGTATCAGCATATCTGATTTGATTAAATTAATAAAATATCTTGAATAGTTTCTTTGAAACTGAGCTTAACACTTATTTTACGAAAAGTAAGTCAAGGTCAAAGGAAAAGTAAAAGTCAATAATGGTGATGCAGTTGAATAGCCTCATCAATATGTATCGGCATATAAAGTTTGATTACATTATATTGAATAGTTTCTTTGAAACTGACCAAAACACTAATATAAGAAAAGTGAGGTCAAGATCAAAGGGAAGGTCAAGGTCAAAAAAGGTTTATGCAGTTGAACAGCTCTCATCAATATGTTTGAGCAAATAAGATTTGATAAAAATCTCTTAAGAGATAATCATTAATTTAAGTAAGGTCAATGACAAAGGAAAGTTCAAGGTCAAAAAATGTTGCTGCATGTGAATAGCTGTCATCAATATGTATTAGCAAATAAAGTCAAATTAAACTATCTTGAATAATTTCTTAGAAACTTAGCTAAACACAAATTTAAGAAAAGTGAATTCATGGTCAAAGGAGATTCAAAGTCAAAAAATGATGATGAAGGTGAATAGTTTTCATCAGTATGTATCAGAATATAAGGTTTAAAAAAATATCTTGAATAATTCCTTTGAAACTGACCTAAATATTAATTTAAGAAAATTGAGGTCAATGTCAAAGGGAAGATCAAGGTCAAAAAATGTTGATGCAGTTGAATATCTCTCAGCAATATGTATCCGCATATGAAGTTGATAAAAATATCTTGAATAGTTTCTTTGCAACTGGGCTAAATGCAAAGTGCGATGGAAGGACAGAAGGACGATGGAAGATGGACATGACAAACTCTATATGCCCTAGCCATATTCAGGCAGGACATAAAAATATTGAAAATGTTTCTTTGTGGGACAACCTTCGTATTTAACTGGAGAATGGACATGCACCTTGACTCTGGAAATAATATATTTTTAAAATTAAGAAAAGGAACATTGTATGAGCAAAAGTGAAAAAGTGGGCCAAGGAAAATTAAAAAAAAATATTTTATTTCTTAGTACTGGCAAATTCATATTAAACAGAAATTGCATGCAAATAATCACAGGTACTAAATTACAAAATGAAATGCATATGCTATAGACATTTTCTTGAATAAAAATGTTAAATTTAATGTGAATATTTTCTTTTCTAAATTCTAATGATTAAAACATTAGAACCAAGCTTACGCCATTTTTCTCACCTAAATAATTTGCTCCCCCCCCCCTTTTATACAAAAAAAATATAATAATAAAAAAATAATCATGCATGAATTAATACATTAATTTACACTGCGACATGCTTTAAAACAGATGTTCTAATAATAATAGCTACAGCAGCATAACAGATGAAAACATCAGAATTTGTCAATTTACATGAACTCTTCTTGCACAAATTTGTATTTTGTCAATTTGAAACTGATATATATTTTTTTTAATATAGAACATAAATTGATGAGACCTGGCAAACTCTGATCAGAAAAAAGAGAGAAAAAAAACTCATCTGAGTTTGTAAGCAAATTAAACATTCATTGTTAAGTAAAGCTTCAACCATGATAATTAACTTAAAGGAAAGAAAAACAGCTACATTCTCAGATAAAAATTAATAGAAGCAACCAAATATAAATTAAATGAAGCATTTTACAATATAGTTTAATTAACATAAGTGTTAACAAGCCACATACTGTGACCTACCCATCTCCTCTCTAATCATCATCAAGTTCTAGGTCAGATATGTGAGTGACTGAACAAAGAAATATCACAACTATAGATCAACTTCTTATACAATAGGAAGTTATAAATCTTGTAAATAACTTAAATTGTACCACATAAACTATTTTTATATCAATTGCAATGGACTATTATGTCAGAAGGAATTTAAACCCAAGTTCAACCGGATGACCTAATATGAATTCTCACCTGTGATATACTGACACCTTGACCCTGTAAATCCGTTTCGACACACACATGCACCTGACACTGGGTCACAGAAGCCCTGATTATCACAGTTACAGAAAAATTCACAGTTTGGACCATACTTCCCCTGTTTACACACTGAAACAGATAAAACTTTGTCTCAATTTTCTGAATGCATCAATATGAAAATTGAAAGCTTGACCTTGCATCTCTATCAAATAATGTTTCATTTGGCTACTACGAAGAGCATTACTAGTTAAATTTTTGATTTTATTCATTTTTCAGGTGTATGTCAGATACTCAATGAATAACAAATCTCTGTTTGGTCCTTATTTCAAATTATTTCATCCTCATTAAATTATCCAAACTCCAATTTAGGTGATGTAATAATTCAGCATACAGTGCACAGAAATTGTGTTCAAATGTTGTAAAATACTCTTTGTTTTGAATTTCTCTATCATGATAAGAGAGAAAGAAACACAGACTTACTATTTGTGCAGTTAGCCCCCTTTAATCCTGCAGGACAGAAGCATTCCCCTGTCACATGATCACAGTGGGCAGCACCACACTGACACTCCTCCTTACAGAGAAATCCATAATAACCTCTTGAGCACACTGAAAATGTATGGAGGGCATTATATTAGTCATCAAATACTCATCACAGCATGTTCATTAAACTGAGACTGATTGTACACACAAATTACATGTTTATTCTTCAGTGGGTGTACTTAATATTTTGGTAGTGATCTCCCTTAACTGTAACCTGGTTAACACTACTGTGTTAACAGTCTAATAAATAACTTTGTTAAAATTTACTCTTCCCAGGGACTAGCTATGCTACTGAGCTCACATACTGTATTGCCACTAATTTAACTTGTAGCCAAGTTTACATTTACACTGCCCAAGAACAGGGTTACACTGTTTACTGTGTTAGCAGTTATCTCCCTTCTATCCTGATTTATATTTAAACATAGAATGGAAAAGTGTTTTCTTACTGCGTTGGTAGTTATCTCCCTTGTAGCCTGAAGTTTACTTTTACACTGCCCGTAGACAAAGTTACATTGTTGACCATGTCAGAAGTTATCTCCATTGTTCCTTTTTCATATTTACAATGCTAATAGACCATATAAGTGTTTACTTACTGTATTGGCGGTCATTGCCCTTGTAGCCTAAACAAAACATTTACAGTGTCCAATGACAGGGTTACACTTGTAACCTGGTTAACATTTACACTGCACATAGAATGTGTTAATGTTCATATACTGGGTTGGTGACAGTTTTCTCCCTTGCATTCTGATTTAATACATATCACTACCCATAGACTGGGTTACAATGTTTACGTATTGTGTTGGTAGTCATCTTGCTCGTTACTTGGTTTACATTTACACTGCCCATGGATATGGTTACATTGTTGACTTGTGTCAGAAATTATCTCCCTTGTTTCCTTTTTTTACTTTTACACTGTTAATTGACTAGATTGGTGTTTACTTACTGTGTTGGCTGTTATCTCCCTTGTAGCCTGAAGTTAACATTTATACTACCTATGGACAGGGTTACGGCAGATTAATTTGCCCTTATACCAAATTAATCTCATTTAATTGACGGAAGCACATTACAATGTCGTTAAAACTAATAGTGGAACGAATTGGTTATAATCCAAAAGGCAAAAGACTCGTATTGGTACGAGTTGATTAATTGATGGCACTTCCTTTTCCCGCCATCCAGCAACAGGGTGAGGCAGGTGATCCACATCAAAATTATTATCGCAATCATCCGACGGAAGTCAAACCCATTTTACACGCTACCTGGACTCAACTATGCCGCCAGTTAGACAGACGATCACCTCACGCTCCAGAAAGGAGCGCGATCGTAATTTTGTTTCGCCGGGCAGAGGGCGAGGAAGGAGATCCAAGCGGTCCACACACGAGGCGGGACATCCCACCTACACAAGACCACGACTTGGGGGAAACCGGACCAGTACTGCAACATCAACGTCCCCAGCCACAGTAACGGTGGCGGAATCAACCCACGAGGCTTACGAATACGAACCCACAGGACGTCGGGAGGGCCAAGACGAGGAGACGTTGAGCAACATCTCGGGTTTGTCCACTCGTGCAATTCATGTGGCGGATCACACCCCTCAATCAAATGCAGGAATAGAAATACACGATTCTAACGAGGATATCAACAGTTTAGGAAAAACTCCAATTGATGTCTACAATTTGTCTACTTATCTACAAGGTTACAGTGCTAAATCTTTTCTCATAAACGGTTTCCTACATGGTTTTCAACTCCAGTACAATGGCCCAAGAATTTACAGGGAATCAAAAAATTTAAAAAGTGCTATAGTAAACCCCAGTATAGTGGAACACAAAATACATAAAGAACTCCTGCTCCAGAGGGTAGGGGGACCATTTGAATACCCACCATTCCCATCCCTTCAAATTTCACCATTAGGACTTGTCCCCAAAAAAGATGGAGATTTTAGACTCATCCATCACCTGTCCTTCCCAGAACATCAATCGATCAATTCCTTTATAGATCCAGCTGCATGTTCAGTACACTACGCATCAGTGGACGACGCAACAGCCATCATCTCGACACTGGGGGCAGGTACTTTATTGGCTAAATCCGACATAAAATCTGCATTCCGGCTCATTCCTGTGGCCAAAAATGATTTTGATCTATTGGGGTTTAAATTCCAGGGTAAATATTTTTTTTGACAAAATGATGCCATTCGGTGCATCCATTAGCTGCGCAATCTGGGAGAAGTTCGCAACTGCATTACATTGGATCATTCAATCTAGCTCACGTAACCCCCATATTCTACACTATTTAGATGATTTTCTCTTCGCGGGACCACCAAATTCTAATCAGTGCCAATCTACCCTCGACCTTTTCAAAAATATCTGTAGCCATATCGGAATACCAATAGCTCTTGACAAAACCACCGAGCCTAGCACAACAATAATTTTTCTAGGAATTGAATTTGACACAATCCACATGGTAATGCTACTTCCGCAAGACAAGTTAGTTTCTCTCCGACAAAGCATTCAAACAGTCATGATAAGTAAAAAGGTCTCCTTAAAGGCCTTACAATCACTGATTGGCTTCCTCAATTTTGCCTGCAAAACAGTAGCACCTGGCAGAGCCTTTTGCAGGCGACTAGTTGATGCCACTATTGGCATCAAAAAATCATATCACATGATAAGAGTTAATCAAGGTATGAAAGCAGACCTTGCAGTATGGCAGCAATTTTTGAAACACTTTAATGGGGTCACAGTCATATGCTCCGGTATTTGGTCATCAGATAACAGTCTACAGCTATTCACAGATAGTGCAGGGGGGTTTAATGGGGGGTTTGGAATCTTTTTTGCTGGCCGCTGGGCTCACTCAAAATGGCCTACCCACTGGGTGTTTTCTGACGTTATTCGTGACATGACATTCTTAGAACTATTTCCAGTATATGTTTCACTCCTGTTATGGCACCCATGGTTATCAAACAAACGCATACTTTTCCACATTGACAACATGGCAGTTGTACAAGTCATTAACACATTGACATCTAAGTCAACAAGGGTAATGAACACTGTCAGAAAACTTGTTCTCCTCACTTTGCAACATAACATTACAATTAAAGCCCAACACATCCCAACAAAACTGAACAAAATAGCTGACAGTATTTCTCGTTCACAGTGGGGAAAGTTTCGCAACCTGGCTCCAGAGGCAGAGATGTGGCCCACACAGCTCCCCTAGCAGATATGGGAAATCTAATTGCTGAGTCCAAACGCCTTATTCATAGCTCCTTGTCACAAAACACATACAAAGCTTACCGGGCTGCACTGAATAAATTCCAATCATTTTTAAACATTTATGGCTTACAGCAAACCTGGCCCCTGCACAGCAACATATTACTATATTTTATAGCCTACCTATCCATCCAAAAAATGTCAGCCAATTCAGTGTCCCTTTACATTAGTGCATTGTCATACTTCCACAAAATAAACCATCTTCCTGACCCTACCAAGTCCTTCCAAATTAACAAAGCACTTCAAGGCTTAAAGCGCAACAACAGAGTTGTTCCAGACAGCCGCCTCCCAATAACCCTACCAATTTTGGAAAAGCTTGTTATATCACTACAGTCAGTGTGTTGCTCCACTTACGAGGTCAAACTGTTCACATGTGCTTTTTCATTAGCATACTTTGCATTACTTCGCGTAGGGGAATTCACTTTAGTCAACTCAAACACACCGAATTCATCCCATTGCATACAACTCAAACACATTCAAGCACATCCACACAAGCCCTATTTAAGGTTAACCATACCACACTCCAAAACTGACCAGGTGGGTAAGAATACCACCTTTATTATCCATAGCCAGCCACTTGCTACCCTGTGCCCAGTTAAAGCTACCTTGGATTTTATCGAGTGTAGGCCCCATACCCCTGTTAACCACAGTTTTCTAATTCATCTTAATACAAAACCATTGACGAGATACCAAATCAACGCAGTCCTTCAAAAGGCTATTGAAAACATAATACCAACACCAGGCCATTTTGGCACACACAGCTTTCGAATTGGGAGGGCAACAGACCTTGCATTACAGGGCACATCCGATTCTGAAATTCAGAAGTTTGGTAGATGGAAATCAGTAGCTTTTCTTAAATACATAAGGATCATGTAACTTGGTTCACAACAACATTCCCATGCCTACTAGGACTACAGACATCTACCCATCAATGCCGGGGGGGGGGGGGGGGGGGGGGGGGGGGGGGGGGGGATATTTGGACATGTGTATAGTCAATTTAAAATCCAAAACTAACCAACCCAAAGCATTGCAGGTCTAAAAGTATGGATCATTGGATCATCCATTCCTTTTTGGGCAGGGGAAGCAGCCAAACACTGCCCAGGGGGACAAAGCCTGAACCTCCCTGCCACACTGCTATGGAGATCACGCAGGGGGATGCACTGGCAGGAATTAGACCCACAAATCCTACAGCTCATCAAGCATGAAGTACCCCCAAATTACTTAGTAATTCATCTAGGATCCAACGATTTGGTAACTCCAGACTTAACTAGCAAAAAATTCATACAAGAGATTCAATGCAGCTTCCTGCGATATAATGCTCTTCTCCCAAATACTAAACTGGTGTGGTCACACATTCTACCACGCCGTTATTGGCATGGAGCTCCATTGAACAGTGGAAAAAAGATAGACAAGAAACGTAAAAGAATTAACAAAAATATCTCAAAATTTGTCGCAGAAATGGGTGGGGGTGTAATTTCACATGCAAACATATCTGTTGCTAATCCGGAATTGTTTAGATTTGATGGTACACACCTCTCTGAGCTTGGCAACAGAACTTTCTTAAATAACATAAAAAGTGGATTGTGGTCCCTCATTCAAGGGAAGGGAAAAGTATCCCTTAATGTAAAGTAATGGAGGAACATCATATCGATGTCTGTGGCGGGTCCGGAGGGATGAGTGGGAGGGTTGCGAACACATCTGGCTCGTTGTTTCCCTGCCCAGCCATCAGACAAGTTGGTGGGCACATTGTTGGGTAGACAGGTTGTCTACAAAGTATCCAACCTATGGCAATGTGTAATAAAAGTCAAGTAAAAAGTTTTCGATTGGGGTCGTAGCCAAGTCTGCAGGCCTGGGGCCCCCTCCACCTCTTGTAACAGGAGGGGAGGCTTAGTGCTGGAGTACTTGGGTGTAAAAGTACTGCTGACCAGAAGCAATCTCCGGAAGCAGGGTATACAGATGTGCTCGCAAATCTCTCGGTCCCTAATGTCTAGTACCTAAATTTGGGATCTCGGGCATCTGTGACCAACACAGGGCCACTGGTTTTGCCCGGTACTTATTAGTCGGTATGCCAGCTATCCCTCCTGGACCCTATTTTTTGATTGTACATTTATGCAATGCGGCCATTTAATGCCAATTCCCTTATGTCCATCACAGTTATGAGTAATGCAAGATTGTATATGTTTTTGTTCAAGTCTTTAATAAATGTAATGAAAATTATGCAGCTGTTGTCTATTGTAAAGCTGGCAACAAGGAAAGGTCATGATGACCGTATGTGTGAAAAGAATCAAGTAACAAGGCATGTCAGGTCCTGCGGGGCAGTGATTACCTGACTGTTCAATTAAATCTCTGTTTATCTCCCTTGTAACCTGGTTTACATCTACACTGCAAATTGACTGGGTTAGTGTTTATAGTGTTTACGTACTGGGTTGGCAGCAGTTATCTCCCTTGCATTCAGATTTACATTTACACTGCCCATAGACTGGATTACAATCTTTATACACTGTGTTGGCAGTTATCTTGCCCAGTTACATTTACACTTCCCATGGACATGGTTACATTGTAAACCTTGCTGGTAGTTATCTCCCTTATCTCCTCTCTCTCTTTACTGACTGTGTTGGTAATTACCTGGTTTACATTTACATTACCAAGAGACAAGGTTACGTTGTTAACTTACTCTGTTGGCAGTTCTACATTTTGTATCCACCTTTACATTTACACCGCCCATGGACTTGATTTATGGTGTTTATTTACTGTGTTGTCAATTAACTCCGTTATAACTTTGTTTACATTTATATTGCCCATGTACTTGGTTACAGTGTTTCCTTATTGTGTTGGCAGCTTTCTTCCTTGTAATCAGGTTTACGTTTACTCTACCCAGGGACTGGGTTACAGTGTTTACTTACTGTGTTGGCAGTTATCTCCCTTGTAACCTGCTTTACATTTACACTGTCCATGGGCTAGGTTACAGTGTTTACTTACTGTGTTGGCAGTTATCTCCCTTGTAACCTGGTTTACATTTACACTGCCCGTGGACAGGGTTACATTTAGCACCATTTTTACAGCTGCACGTCTCTCTACAGTATAGACCATATGTTCCTTCTGGACAGTCTGAAAAGTCCAATATTTATCACTTAATATCCTCTTGTATATATTTAGTAAAGAAAATTAACTATTTATCTATACCTTACTGGACCTTTACATCTCCAGCTCAGAAATAATGAAAAACCAGTTCTAGCTTACTGAATTCGCAGCTTTGACCATAGAACCCAGGGAGGCAGCTACAACATCCACTAACAGGATCACAGGAACCATTATTCTGACACACACAGGAGTGGACACAGGCTGGACCAAACCTTCCAGGTGGACAAAGCTGATCACACGTGTCCCCCATCCACCCTAAGTCACAGCGACACTGACCAGTCACATGATCACAGCGTCCATTAACAGTACAGCTACATACACCACTGCAATTCCTGCCAAATCTATTATCCTCACACTCTGAAAAAAAAATCACAATCACTGGCATAATCAAACTTTATAGAATCAAGACTGGTTCGATTCAAAAAGACCAGAAATATTTCCTCTCAATTTAACATAGTGTACAATTTTATGACAATCCATGACTTACTAAACTGACATCTGTCCCCATAGTAACCAGGCAGACATATACATTGTCCACTCTCTGGATCACAAGTCGCCTCGTTCCTACATTTACAGACATGTTTACAGCCCTGACCTGTGTACCCTCGGGGACACGACTGGGCACAGGAGGGTCCAATATACCCCACGGGACACAAACAAGCACCTGTTCTGGAGTCACAGGTGGCTCCATTTTCACAATTACACTTGTTCTCACAATTTGCACCAAATCTTCTTTTTCCACAGCCTAAAATTCATATTTTAAGCCAATATATAAAAAAATTCTATTTCAGGTTTAATTTTGATAGATTTTTTTTTCAAACAATAATTTTTGTTTGTGCCTGCTGTTTAGCATTAAAAGTACATGCACTTGGTACAAAACACTAACTATATCTTATAATTACTTGACATATGTATCTTAGTACTTCATTAAAGTGAATGACTTGCATGCCGACTTTTTTTATTTTCTGCAGATGAATAAATAAAGGGTAGATATTACACTAAAGCAAATTGTTCATGCATATTCCATCAATATGACTAGCTAGCTCTTGACTTTTTCATTAAATCAGAGCATGTACATGACTGTGCCCAAACTTTATTAATAAAGTTTGGGTATATTCTTGTTCTTCCCATATCTCTAAGTTTTTCTTGTCACTGCATTTCCTCCTACTTTTTCAGAGGCTGCCAGACAATTCTATTAGTAATTGGCCTGATTTTGTAGCTGTGCAATAAGGTTTTGAAATTCCAATTTTGGCCCCAGGTGCTGAGAGATGCAGTTCAAATATTAAGCTTCAAAGGTAGGTTAAATCTGTCAATAAAATATCATAGTGCAATCTATGCAGTCACTACTCTGGAACTACCTACAGAGAAAATATGCTGTCCTAACAGAATATGTTGTCACAGCACAGCAAACTTGAGCTGACTTGAAGGGAAGAATTTTATATCTTTCACATACTTTTTCAAAATGCATGTAAAATGTTTCTATGTTCTTGTTAAAGCTTGAAGACAAATTGAATGTTCTTGACGAAGTCTGTGTAAAATTTTGAACTATCCCAGACTCAAGGGGTCTTGATTTGATCAAACATGAATTTACACTAAATAAGAGGGACTTCAATTTAAGCTTTGTTCTAGATGGACCAGTGGATCTTAAGAAGCAAGATATTTGAATAATACAACTCCGTTATCCTGCTTCCTTATGACCCTTGACCCCTACAAAAATAGGGATGACATTTATTTGAATTAACTCGAATTTTTACTAAGCCTGGATGCTTTGTGCCAAGATTGGTTGAAATTGCTTCATCAGTTTTGGACAAAAAATAGTTGGTTGAAGGACAGACAGATGGATGATGCAAACTTTGATCAAAAAAGCTTAACTGAGCCTTTGAATCAGTTGAGCTAAAAATTAACTGATAGGGAAAATAGTCAAATGATATACAAAGGGTTCTTAAAAAAGTTCGTGGACTGGCATTATATAATTAAAACTGTTTAAAGAACATCAGTGAATTTTTTAACATTATTTTATGAAAAATTGGCAAATTATCAATGCATCAGGCTGAAATTTTAAACACTTGTTTCATGAATCTTCAGATTCTGTAAGCACAATCTACATAGTATTAATTTTATTGCATCAGCTCATGAACTTTTTGATAACCCCTCATAGTTTGAAATATCCACAATTCGGTGTATTAAGGAGCTCATTTACTTGTGCATGGAGACAATCATGTATTCGTTTTCAGCATGCTACACCAGAAATATACAGTTTTACTGTATAAGGACAAAATACTGTAAAATCATTAATTTTCGTGGGAGTTTAATTTTCGTTGTTATCGTGGTACGAAGAAACCCACCATTCATGTCCACCATGGAATTAATGTTAAAATTTCTTACTACTGTATAATGTATCCCCTTTCATCACGAAATCAAATTCCCTTGAACCAGTAACTTATCCTCAAACCATGAAAATTTGACCCCTCAAAAATAAATGATTTTACTGCATTATGATTTTTTTTAAATAATTGAACATACATGTAACTTTAAAAAGCCTCAAAACACAATATCATATTGCACAGTTCCTTGTAAATCTAATATATTACAACTTTTTTCTGTAACAAATTGAAAAAGCTCAGAAGCAATATTCATTTTACAACATTGAATTACCCATTCTCAAGGATTCTGCATTGGAAAATGGAAAAGAATGAGTTTCAATTAAAAAGAAGTTAATTACCACAAACCCTCCATAAATAAAACAATGTAAATATAAATTTCCATCAATATACCTGATTCAGGTCTGCCCTTAGGTTTGTTTATAAAAGACACCACAGATATACTTTCATTACGACGCCTGTCTCGGACTTTCCTATTTCGTCTATTCTTTCTCCCTGTTGAAAGGTCATGTTTTGTTAGGCTTATATAAATTGTTAAATCAAGCTTTTGTCTGTGTACTCCATAGATTTATCATACATGTATCAAGCAGTTGATTAAGTTTTCTAAGCTAATCTGTATTTTCACTGAACTCTTAGCAAGCAAAGTTATCTATAGTAATTAATGCAAGAATTCTCATACATATCAAGTTTTGTTTAAATTATAGTGATTTTCATATCAACAAGGCATACAGTAGCTGCAATAATGTAGCCCTCTCCAATTTTTTTTTTTTTTTTTTTTTTTTTTTGGGAGAGGGCTACAACTCCTTAGGATCTCCGTAATGGTGCAAGTGCGGGAGTGATTCACTACCGCACAGATTTCGGCTCAAATTATCAGTAAGTGGGTATTTTATTAACATATCTTACCTCAACTCATAAAATGTAGTTATGCAGGACATGAATTGATCCAAAAATATACAGAACAATCCGTATATCGGTTATTTTTCGTGCATGTCAACATCACAACTTGAATTTATCCGCCATGTTTACTGACCTTGATCGATTTTATTTTGGGACAACCAATGAGACTTTGGGATCTAGGGGAGCGGATCTGTATGGATTTCCCTTATTATAAGCATAAATATCACTGTATATGAAAACTAGAAATATGTCCATAGGACATGAATGCCCCGCCAAGGGTATATTAGTAATGCAATATTTTAACACAAATTGAGAAAAGTGAGGTCAAGGTCAAAGAAAAGGTCAAGGTGAAAAAATATTGATGCAGTTGAATAGCTTACATCAGTATGTATCAGCATATGAAGTTTGATAATACTAATTTAAGAAAAGTGAGGTCAAGGTCAAAGGAAAGGTCAAGGTCAAAAATTGTTGATGCAGTTGAAAAGGTTACATCAGTATGTATCAGCATATGAAGTTTGATAAAAATATTATGAATGGTTTCTTTAAAACTGAGCTAAACACTAATTTAAAAAAATGAGGTCAAGGTCAAAGGAAATGTCAAGGTCAAAAAATATTGATGCAGTTGAATAGCTCTCATCAGTATGTATCAGCATATGAAGTTTGACACTAATTTAAGAAAAGTGAGGTCAAGGTCAAAGGAAAGGTCAAGGTCAAAACATGTTGATGCAATTGAATAGTTCTCATCAGTATGTATCAGCATTTGATGTTTGATAACACTATCTTGAATGGTATCTTTAAAACTGAGTTAAACACTAATTTAAGAAAAGTGAGGTCAAGGTCAAAAGAAAGGTCAAGGTCAAAACATGTTGATGCAGTTGAATAGCTTACATCAGTATGTATCAACATATGAAGTTTGATACACTATCTTGAATGGTATCTTTAAAACTGAGTTAAACACTAATTTAAGAAAAGTGAGGTCAAGGTCAAAGGAAAGGTCAAGGTCAAAACATGTTGATGCAGTTGAATAGTTCTCATCAGTATGTATCAGCATTTGAAGTTTGATAACACTATCTTGAATGGTATCTTTAAAACTGAGTTAAACACTAATTTAAGAAAAGTGAGGTCAAGGTCAAAGGAAAGGTCAAGGTCAAAACATGTTGATGCAGTTGAATAGTTCTCATCAGTATGTATCAGCATTTGAAGTTTGATAACACTATCTTGAATGGTATCTTTAAAACTGAGTTAAACACTAATTTAAGAAAAGTGAGGTCAAGGTCAAAGGAAAGGTCAAGGTCAAAACATGTTGATGCAGTTGAATAGTTCTCATCAGTATGTATCAGCATTTGAAGTTTGATAACACTATCTTGAATGGTATCTTTAAAACTGAGCTAAACACTAATTTAAGAAAAGTGAGGTCAAGGTCAAAAGAAAGGTCAAGGTCAAAAAAAGTTGATGCAGTTGCATAGCTCTCATCAATATCTATCAGCATATGAAGTTTGATAAAAATATGTTTGATAGTTTCTTTGAAACTGAGCTTTGAACAGAGCTAAACGCAAAGTGTGACGGAAGGACAGACGGAAGGACAGAAGGACAGAAGGACGGAAGGACGGAAGACGGACATGACAAACACTATATGCCCCGGCCATATTCATGGCGGGGCATAAAAATATCACATGGAATGCTTTTATTTATCGATGTTTAGTGATATCATACAACACAAACATTTACCAACACCGACATTTACATTATCAAGTGATTCTAAATTTCAAGCGCAAGTCTCATTACATCACGCGAGAACTGTCATGGCTGCTGAGGAGAACGAATGGAAAACACGGAGATTTATTTTACTTGGTTTTTCGCGTATAAAGGGGTATGATGTTGATAGTGAATAAAATTTCCGTCTTATTGCAAGTAAGTTGAATGCAAAAACAATTTATTTTGCCTGCAGTCGCCCGTATCTAAAAAATATATTTGCACCATTACAGAGATGCAGTGGATTTGTAGCCCTCTCCTGAAAATATCAGATTAAAAAAAAATCGGAGAGGGCTACATTATTGCAGCTAGGCATACAGCATTCAATGTTAGCATTGAAAATAGTGTTAAGCATAATGAGGAGTGAAATTTTGCAACAGTTTGAAATGTTTTTCATACAGACAGTGCTTTATAAGGTCAATACAAATGTATCATCAGAGCATTTCAAGTTTCCTCATCGTGTTTATTAGGGTTGTAAGTTTAAGCTGTGAGCAGTTTTCTGACATTGTTATTAAGTAATTTTTAGATCTATTTACTTCTGGTGCAGTTTTTGCCGTAATGTCCTGGCTTACAGCTACAGTTCCCAGTGACAGGGTCACATATCGAGTTCTTCCCACAGTTACATGTCAGATTACATCCCTCTCCATACCAATTCTCCGGGCATTCTGTAACAGAACACAGGATAGTCATCAGCATTCACAAAAAACAATATGTTTCATGATACTTCTCATGAAAAGAAAATCCTACTTGACCTTTCCTCTCAATAGCCTTCACCTTGACCCAGAAAAGCTCATACACTAATCCAGGTAAAATACATGAGTATTCAACAAGATGTGTTTGTGAAACACTGATGCCCCTGTATGGCAGCTTATGGCGAAGGTTAAAGTTTCTTCAAATGCAAGTCAAAATCCAGGCCAAAAGATAAAAAATGTTGATACCCAAAGAAGTCTTGTCTCGAGGAATACACTTGTGAAATTTGAAAGACCTAGATACAACTGTTCAAAAGTTATGGCGAAGGTTAAAGTTTTTTAAATAAAAGTCAAACGTCAAGGTCAAAGTGGTTGGTATCCAAAGGAAGATCTTGTCACAAGGATTACATATGTGAAGTATGAAAGCCCTAGCATCAACCATTCAAAAGTTATGGCGAAGGTTAAAGTTTTTCAAAAGTAGGTAAAACTCCTAGGTCAAGGTCAAAGGGTCAAAGTGGTTGGTATCCAAAGGAAGGTCTTGTCAAAAGGATTACATATGTGAAGTATGAAAGCCCTAGCATCAACCATTCAAAAGTTGTGGCCAAGGTTAAAGTTTTTCAAAAGTAGGTCAAATTCCTAGGTCAAGGTCAATAGGTCAAAGTGGTGGTTGGTATCCAAAGGAAGGTCTTGTCGCAAGGATTACATATGTGAAGTATGAAAGCCCTAGCTCTAACCATTCAAAAGTTATGGTCAAGGTTAAAGTTTTTCAAAAGTAGGTCAAACTCCTAGGTCAAGGTCAAAGGGTAAAATGGTTGATATCCAGAGGAAGGTCTTGTCACAAGGAATACACATGTGAAGTTTGAAACCCTAAGCACCAACTGTTCAAAAGTTATGGTCAAGGTTAAAGTTTTTCAAAAGTAGGTCAAACTCCAAGGTCAAAAGGTCAAAGTTGTTGGTATCCAAAGGAAGGCCTTGTCACAAAGAATACACATGTGAAGTTTGAAACCCCAAGCACCAACTGTTCAGAAGTTATGGCCAAGGTTAAAGTCTCATAAAATTTTGCAAAAGTGGGTCAAACTCCAAGGTCAAGGTCAAAAGGTCAAATATGATGGTACCCAAAGAAAGGTCTTGTCACAGGGAATACACATGTGAAATATGAAAGTCCTAGCTCCAACCAATCAAAAGTTATGGGCAAGGTTAAAGTTGACAACAGACAGACAGACAAACAGACAAACGGACAAACAGACAAACAAATAAACAGACAGACAGGACAAAAACAATATACCCCTGGGATCTTTCGATCTCGGGGCATAAAAATTATAGCTAAGGTAAAATTAGATGGAAACTATACATATTGCCAAGTGTTTACATTTACTGTCCTATTACAATGACGTGATGAGAATGCACAGTGACATGATATTGTTACATGATGACAATATTGTTTGTCTATACTTACTACCTACTAGCATGTTAACAAAATGTCATCTATGATACTGTTTGCCTATATCTACTGCTCAGATATGTTGTTCTACACATACTGCTTTGATAGGTTTCTCTACACTAATTGTCTAGACATGAGAATGTCTATTTAAACTAACTTCTTTGACAGCTGCCTCTACACTAACTGTCCAGTTATATGATAGTGTCTGTCTACACTTACTGCTTGGACAGCTGTCTTTACACTCTGTCCAGTTACAAGATAATGTCTATCTAACTTACTGCTTTGACAGCTTTCTCCAGTGAAGCCTGGGGGACAGAAACATTGCCCTGTGACATGGTTACATGGCTGGTCCTCCCTGCACATACACACATCCATACAGTCTTGACCATAGAAACCTCGCATACAAGCTACAAAAAAGTTACCAGGGTTAAGTAATCTTGTATATAAATTATATAAAAATACAGCTGAACTTCGGCTTCTTGAACTTTGATAACTGGAATATCATGGATATTTCAAAATGAGTTTGCAGTTCCAATCACTTTTTCTCTATGTATTTTAACCTCAATCTCTTAAATCCTCTGATATCTGAAAAGTTTTTCTGGGCCCTATCCAGTTCAAAATGACATGGTTTGATTGTTTTTAAAAAAAATAACCTTACCAAAAAATCATCAAAAGAGATTCAGATAAATATTTAAAAAACTCTTAAAATTCAACTTTTAATCCTCTCTCACATGTAAACAAGTAATTTAAGGAAATACTAGAGTGTACGCAGTTGAACTCTGGTTTCTTGAACTTCAATATCTCTAATACCACGAAAATGTCAAAGTAAGCTGGAAGTCTCAAATTTTTTCCCTATATGTTTAAACCTTGTTTAAACCTGAATATCTCTAATCCTCTTATATCTCAAAGTCTTTTTCTCTGCCCAATCAAGATAAGGTTGAACTGTACACTATAAACGTGGATATTATCATGAGGTAAACTTCTGTGATTTCTATCTAACAAAGTGTTTTCGAAGGATTTCTTTTTTAGTAGAAATAAGGATATCGTAAAACATTCTATTATTTTGCTTTCCAAAGCTATTCACATATTAATTTTGAAAAACTTCAGCAAATTCCCCCCACACAAACATTTCCACATTTACAGTGAGAGTTTTACGAGAGAACTAACCTCTGTGGCAGTTTCTTCCTCTCCAACCAGGCGTACAGGTGCAGACCCCCGTCACATGATGACAGGATGCCCCATTCTTACAGCCACATTCTTCATCACAGTTCTCCCCGAAAAATCCATTCGGACACTCTGAAAAGCGTAAATTTTGTCTTTCATCTATTTTCTTTTTATAACTCATTGATATTTCTATTATCAACTCCTACAACACTTTTATCATTTTATATAATACAGAGTGTAAATTCTGAGTAACAAACTGACAAACTTTGTCATGTACCTTTATCACAAAGCTCTCCTGTGTATCCAGGGAGACATTTACAGCTTCCTGTTTCCTTATCACATGACTCAGCCTGAACACACTGGCACTGATGTACACAGTTAGGACCAAAGAAACCCTCATAACATGCTGTGATAGAGTAAAAATCCGATATAGACTTTTAGATCTGACCATTCCAAAGAGTTTGTTATACATAGTACCTTCACAAAAGTCTGGAGTACTCACATTTTTCACAAGCCGTTCCTGTGAATCCACTTGTGCAGTTACACTCCCCTGTAATACTGTCACATGGAGCACCATTCCGACAAAAGCAGTGGTACAAACAATTAATACCATAAAATCCTTCAGGACATTCTGCAAGGAAAATTCAGAACTATAATTAACTGAAAACCAGTACTTAGCTGATATGCCAAGAATGAAGTCAATATAGCTATTTCTAGAATTTTTTCTTCTGTCTACAGGATTTTTTAAGGTGGAATCTTACAAGAGAACAACTGTCCTAGTTGTCGGATTGAGAGGCTGTTAGTTTATATCAGTTCAGACTCGGAGAAGAAAACACGTGCAATATTTATCCCAGAACTTTAAACATAAAATGTAAAACTCTGAATGAACAAGTCAGAATCGTGGTCTGATTTCACTTGACCTGACACCATATACACAAAGTTCCCTGCTCAAGATAATGTAATTTCTCTATAGCCATGACAACTTTCTATCAGAGAATCGAGAAACAATATATGAAATTCTAGCATTAATGAACAAGTCTTAAAGTTAGTTTCCAATCTTGTAAAGGAAGGTACTGCTACTATAAACTAAATGTGAGATAGCAAAATTTTGCAGCAACTGTACATCATTATTTTTGCCCTATTTTAAATTCACCCAAACACTGTCTTAAAAGAGGGGTAATTTTGTTGAATTTGCTCACTGCATTATGACTGGGTAAAAGATGTGTAAATAAAATGGGGGCAAAAATGTCCCAGTATACAGAATCCCTCCTAGCTGACGTTCTTTCCTCCCTAATTTTCACTCATTAGTATATATAATTTTGAGAAAATAAATACAGATGTACTCAATAGTATCTGACCTTCTTCACAATGATTTCCTCTCCAGCCAGCAGCACACACACAGGCCCCGGATACTGGGTCACAGGTGCCCCCATTTCCACAATGACACTGGTGCTTGCACTCCTCCCCATATGTTCCTAAGGGACATGCCTTAGAACAGTCATCCCCTGTCCACCCTGCAGAACACTTACACTCCCCATTCACATGGTTACACTCTGCTCCATTGTTTCCACAGTCACAGACCCCCTGACAATCCAGGCCATAAAATCCCTGGGGGCAGGGCTTGTCGCAGTGCTTCCCCTGCCAACCAGCAGTGCATGTGCACCCTCCTCCAATATGATCACATGATGCACCATTGGCACAGCGGCATTTCTCTTTACAACCTGCTCCAAAAGTACCCTCTTCACACACTGTAAGCAAAAAGCACAGTGTCAAAATACATCTTAAATGCTGTAACAAGAAATATTCATTATAACTCATATTATTGCACATACTCAAGAAAATTATCAGAGTTAGAAATAATCAAACTTGTCAACTTTGTGGTATGAATAAAAAATACTCATTCTCACTTTCATCACAGCCCACTCCTTTCCAGCCAGGCCCACAGATACACTCCCCTGTGACATGGTCACATTCCGCCCCATTTCTACAGGCACACCTATAGATACAATCAGGTCCATACGTCCCAGGAGGGCACACTGCAAACAAACACATTGAACTTAATGATTATATCAAGGAGCATGGAATTAGTGAACAAGAAATCAAGGTGCAAGTAAAATTAACCGAACACTACATTTTGATTACCTTGGTCACAAATAGTCCCTCTGAATCCCGCTCTACATTTACATGAACCATCTACTGGGTTACACAAGGCATTGTTCTCACATTTACACTGTAGTAAACACTGGAAACCATAACGGGTAGGTGGGCATGCTGAATAATGACAAAATTATACATTTACACTGAGGAAGACACTGGATTCCTTAACAGGTAGATAGATTGACATGCTAAATAATGACAAAATTACAGTGGCGCCTCGTTTATCCGGACACCTCTGTCCCAAACGAAATCGTCCGGATAAATGAATCGTCCGGATAATTGAATCACATCTCAAAAAGCACTCTCTTAGCATGTATATATGCACATTCTTGTTTCAAATGTGACAGCAAAGAAAAAAAACTCTTAAATTGTATTTTGGTTATTTGTTTTAAAAGCAGTTATTGATTAATGAAAAAAATATATTAAAATGTAATTTAAGAATAAAAAAAATGGATGGGCAATTTTATGCTCAGACCTCCTTTTTTAATTCACCTTCTCTTTGGCATGTGACTTCATGGGTTGAGCAAATTTTGATCTATACTGTTGTTTTATTTTGCCATAGATTTTAATTATTGAAACTCATATGATATGACAGAACTGTTCAGCATCATCATTGAAAATGTTCGAATATAAACTAACCCCGTATATACCCCGTATATTCATTACACAGGGTTACTATAAAATTAACTGAACACTGCAAACTAACTCAAACAGAGTACTAAAAACATTCGTAAACACAAGCCATCTTCATGATTATCAATATTATTTTTTACTACAGACGCTAAGTTTGAATTTCGATCATTAAAAAATACCTTGAAAAACGTAATCAACTTCTGTACGTTAAGCCAGTTTTTTTTATGTCATGGATGTTTGTAAACGGTAGTACATTATATAGAAATATTTCTTCAATTATGTACCTTTCTATACTGTCTTGTTGGGAAAAAAGCGTTTCAAATACATTTACGTTTTTTAGAAATGGAACATCGTATTTTAAACTATAATTAACGCAATCGACATGATAAAGAGCATTACGAAATCGCTCGTTATTTATTGTTTATTTTATTTACAACTCCAAAATTCTCTTGAATTTACCGATGTATATACAGTTAGCAATATGATTTTGAACGGATTATTATTCAATTAATGCACAGTGTCAGCTAAATTCTTTGAGCTTCATAATAAAGATACATGTAAAAGTGTGATTGAATTGGGGTAAACACACGCTAATTATAGACGCTATTGTTTGTAGGTCACAGGTAACCGCCTTCAAACTGACTGCATGGCCAATGTTTTTACAACAATTAACACGAATGCAAGATAAGTGTGAAAATGTCGTTTCTTGAAAAATTACCGTCCGGATAAACGAGTCAATTTTCAATGAACTGTTATGTTTTGTAGTAGAAATTGACCGTCCGGATACGGAACGCGATTTCCGGATTAATGTGACAAAATAACGTAGAAAAAATCGGTTCCCCAAAAATATCGTCCGAATGGTGAAGCGTCCGGATAAATGGCGTCCGGATAAACGCGGTGCCACTGTACACAATTTCCCAATCAGAAAAAATGGCCTTGTAGAGACTTTTCCTAGAATTCTTTTTCTTTAAAAATATTTTTTGAAACCTCAAACATGCAAATTCATTCTAAAATAGGTTGGTGAAAACAAGAATGATTTATTCACACGAGAGACCAAATGAATGGTTTAAAGTGAAAAATTCTCACCATCTTGACATTCCTGGCCGTACCAGCCATCAGGACAGAGGCACTCTCCTGTGACCTTATCACACTCTCCTCTTTTACAGGTACACTGGTACATACAGTTCACTCCCCAAGTTCCATCACGACAAGCTGAAAGTAGAGCTCCATCATTCAAATTTGGAGATACTCCCGGTTTACAAACATAATTATAATTAATTTATGTCATTTTCATGTACAGTCACATGTAGAAATATACTCGGGAAAACTTACGATGCTAAAGTGATGTCACAATGAGGCTACTAAGATGGTTATAAAAATACATGTAAACTTCTGTATCCTGACATTAATATGTATTAACTTCTTAGATTTTGCAAATAAAGAAAAAAGGAATTGCTGAAAATAAAACAAATTACTGATCATTGAATATTGTATGAAAATACAAAAACTTGTCATTGTTTTCCCATTCAATGCAATCTTTGGTGTCAAGTCTCAACTCCAACATCTCAACATTAGTTCTGCCAATGTTGAGATACCAAAGTTTACCTGCATGTATAATGATGCAGCTAGGGCACTGAAAAACTTAAATCTTGAATGTATTTTTGTTTGATTTAAACATGTAAAATGTAAAAGTAAAAACAAGGAACATTTTTTAGTTTGTGAATGTCATTGGTATGTAAATCATACAGACTTATCACGTAGGCATCTTTTTCATTAGTGCTTCATGAAGTATGCCTATGTGACAAGTCTGTGTGATTTACAGACCAATAACGCTAACTAAGACTGAAATACATTCCTCAAGTACAATGAATATATTTGTGAAGATACAAGTTTGTATGGGTTTGTAGGAGGTACCACAGAGAAACATTTTATCAAAACACTTATCAGGCCATGCACAAATGTAGTTATACCACTATAATAATTGTATTACACTCAATAACCATGTCAAACTATATTTTGCAAAAAAAAAAAGACATCCTTGATTTTGTAAAACATTTTTTTTGAGTAAAATAATTATAGTGGAAAACCACTGTCATAGCAATATTTACATTTGTGCCAGATCTGCTTATACTATTATGTATTCCTGGAATGGACTTAGTCAGCTAACTTACGTTTATTACATCGTCTCCCACGAGTGCCGGCTCTACAGATACATTTCCCAGTCTCAGGATGACATAAACTATTGTGACAATTACATTTTTGTTCACAGTTAAAACCAAAAGTTCCATTGGGACAAACTAAAATAAAATCAACAACTCAACAAAAATTATCTACCGAAAAAATAAAAAATACGAGAAAATCATAAAACAGACATATCTAGAAATACACAAGACACATGTTTGAAAAAATTACATAAACGAAAATTCACAAAGATGAAATATACATACAGTCAAACCTTGTTATCTCGAACTTGATGGGACCAAGAAAAAACTTCCCGAGATATACAAGGATTGAAGATATCAAAGTAAAATACTTAGAGATTAAGTAGTTGGGTCTTCAAAATCCCTTCGACATATCCATAGTATTCGAGATATCAGTGTTCGAGATATTGAAGTTCAACTGTATAAGAAAACAAAGTAAGAAAAGAGGAAAACTTGACCCGAGCCCTCTCCCTCTCTCACCTTGATCACAGCTATCTCCCATTCTTCCTTGGTCACACCTCAGATAACACCTCCCAGTCTCAGGGTCACATGACTGATTGTTGTTACAATTACACAAGTGCTCACAATTTTTCCCATAATGCCCTGCTAAACATCGAAATTGACATTGCTCTCCATAGAAACCCTTCTTACAAGAACACTTGCCATTCTGAAACAAAATTAATCACACGTTGATTGATGCTTTTTTAAGTAATAAATAAGTCTTAAAAGAATTAAACATTCTTTTCATAAAAGCAGAAAGGCACTAGAAGTCTCTGGCCAGATTGGGAGCTCTAGCTAGGTCAATCTAACACCAGAGTAGACCAGACAAGTGGACCTCGGATTAGCTTTGCATTTGCTCAAAGTCCACTTAGCAAGAATTTGCATTTGCTTTGGTTCCTCTCTGCATTCACTCAGGCAATCTAAGTCCTCTATTGAACCCTGGCATGCAGCAACCATTTTGAGGTTTGCTTAATTACTGTAGATTCCTGAATATATGTGAGGAATAAATTATCGCATAATTTCACAAGAAGCACCACTCGTGAAATAAAATTACTCCCTTTTATTTTTATAGTGCTTAAATGTATTAAAATCTCTAGATCAATCATTTTTATAGTGCTTAAATGTATTAAAATCTCTAGTTCAATCGTCCACTCCCTAATTACTATTCTCGCGTTTTGACTTCCTAGGGCCATTTCGCGATATTAAGTACGTGTAAAATAAGGAATTAACAGCCTCACAATCATGCATAATTCTATGCATAATTTGAACCACTTTTAATCTACACTCATTACGGAAGCTTCAATATCATCTTTTTCTTTTCTAAATCCGGTGTTTTCAAGATTATTAAATGATCCAAACATATTTTTCTCTATAGTAATTGCCCATTGAAAAAGGACATGGCTCTTCCTTTGAATAAACTTATCTTCCCTACACCCAAGGATGTTTTGTGTAGAGGAAAATGAAAATGTGAAAAGTTTACAGAAAATAGTCTATAGACAGACACTCCTGGATTAGAAAAAGCTCACTTAAGCCTTTGGCTCTGGTAAGCTAAGAACAACTACAGAACTCTTGCTTTGCCAAATTCTATTTAGTAAAGAGAAAAGATTTTGCTGCACTAACCACTGGATCACAGAATTCTGTAGTGGTCCTGTTACACTGACAAGCCTTCATACAGTTAGATCCCCAATTAAACAAGGGGCACTCTGTATCACAGTAGGATCCAAAAAACCCTGGCGGACACATACAATATCCAAACTCCCTGTCAAAATATAATCCATAAAATTCTCATGTAAATCAAGTGCTTTCAGTTTATAACAGATGGCATTTTTCATACATATACATTTTGTGGTAGAGAGAACAAAACCATTCAATTAAACAAAAACTGTCAATCATAATATGACCTGAAAAATTCTACATGACCACTATTCTTACCTGTCACAGTGACCACTATTACAGGGCTTGAAGCAGGCCTTGTCACAATTTTTACCAAAGAATCCTGAAGGACATCCATCTGCACAGTCTTCTCCACTGACCCCTGGAGGACATGTGCACTTACCAGTCACATGATCACAGGTCCCTCCATTTTTACAGCTACAAATCTGGTTACACCCACTGCCATAGGATCCCTACAATATTTGGACTTATTGAATCTTTGCCATCTAAATATTTCAGAAAGAGATGTAAATACATGGACATTAGGAATCTATATTACTAGGACATAATTACTTGCAATTTATTTGATAATTATTACTTTTATGACAAGAAAACACAATCTCCCAATAAATGTAATACATGTAAGTCACTATTTGAAAATTCTATGGTAGCAATTTAAGTTTTTCTTTGACATGACTGCTTAGTGTCATTTTCACCTTGACCTCAGAGGAAACTGTCATCCAATACGATAACAAGAGGCCCATGGGCCACATCGCTCACCTGAGTAACTTTGGCCATGCTGTTCATTACCAGACTTCCCCCCCTTGTAATACCTATTGTGGCCCCGCCCTACCCCCGGGGTCATGATTTTAACATTTCAGAATCTACACTACCCAGGATGCTTCCACATAAGTTTCAGCTTTTCTGGCTCAGTGGTTCTTGAGAAGAAGATTTTTAAAGATTTTTCCTATATATTTCAATGTAAAACTTGGATTTCCTATTGTGGCCCCGCCCTACCCCCGGGGGTCATGATTTTAACAATTTGAAATCTACACTACCCCAGGATGCTTCCACATAAGTTTCAGCTTTTTTGGCTCAGTGGTTCTTGAGAAGAAGATTTTTAAAGATTTTTCCTATATATTTCAATGTAAAACTTGGATTCCCTATTGTGGCCCCGCCCTACCCCCGGGGGTCATGATTTTAAGAATCTAGAATCTACACTACCCCAGGATGCTTCCACGTAAGTTTCAGCTTTTCTGGCTCAGTGGTTCTTGAGAAGAAGATTTTTAAAGATTTTTCCTATATATTTCAATGTAAAACTTGGATTCCCTATTGTGGCCCCGCCCTACCCCCGGGGGTCATGATTTGAACAATTTAGAATCTACACTACCCCAGGATGATTCTACATAAGTTTCAGCTTTTCTGGCTCAGTGGTTCTTGAGAAGAAGATTTTTAAAGATTTCTCCTATATATTTCAATGTAAAACTAATGTATTTCCTATTGTGGCCCCGCCCTACCCCCGGAGGTCATGATTTTAACAATTTAGAATCTACACTACCCCAGGATGCTTCCACATAAGTTTCAGCTTTTCTGGCTCACTGGTTCTTGAGAAGAAGATTTTTAAAGATTTCTCCAATATATTTCTATGTAAAACTTGGATTTCCTATTGTGGCCCGCCCTACCCCCGGGGGTCATGATTTTAACAATTTGAAATCTACACTACCCCAGGATGCTTCCACATAAGTTTCAGCTTTTTTGGCCAAGTGGTTCTTGAGAAGAAGATTTTTAAAGATTTTTCCTATATATTTCAATGTAAAACTTGGATTCCCTATTGTGGCCCCGCTCTATCCCCGGGGGTCATGATTTGAACAATTTAGAATCTACACTACCCCAGGATGCTTCCACATAAGTTTCAGCTTTTCTGATCCAGTGGTACTTGAGAAGAAGATTTTTTAAGATTTACTATATATTTCAATGTAAAACTTGGATTCCCTATTGTGGCCCTGCCCTACCCCAGGGGGTCATGATTTGAACAATTTAGAATCTACATTATCCCAGGATGCTTCCACATAAGTTTCAGCTTTTCTGGCCCAGTGGTTCTGGAGAAGAAGATTTTTTTATGACCCCACCCTATTTTTGTCTTTTCTTGATTATCTCCCCTTGTAAGGGGACTTGGCCCTTTATTTTAACAATTTAAACTCCCTTTCCCCCAAGGATACTTTGTACCAAGTTTGGTTAAAATTGGCCCAGTGGTTCTTGAGAAGAAGTTGAAAATGTGAAAAGTTTACAGACGGATGGACGGACAGACGGATGGACAGACGGACGGACGGACAACGGACAACGGGTGATCAGAAAAGCTCACTTGAGCTTTCAGCTCAGGTGAGCTAAAAATGTCATACTTTTAATTTTTTCATACATAGTACAGGTTAAGATGTGTATAGCACACTGAACCTCAAAGGATTTTATGTAGAGTCAAAAATAAACATTATGAATGAAAGAATCTACTCACTTCTGGACAAGTTTGGTTACAGAGAAATCCGTTCCACCCAGGAGAGCAAACACAGCCAGGATTTTCTCTGTTGCAGGTTGCACCATTCTGACAACTGTCACAAGTCCACTTGCAGTCTGGTCCAAAGTTCCCTGGCACACATTCTAAAAGAAAGCTTCAATTTCATCCACACTGTAGAATTCTACATTCCAAATACAAACTACAACTTTATTTAATGGTGCAGGTTTTCCATCTTTCTAGTATAATACTGGAAAAAATGCTTTTCATAAATCTACAGAATCTGTAAATCATCTTAATCATACACTTACTCCTTTGTATCCATTCCTTTATAAGTATAATTAAACATAAAACCAACCTTGATATGTTCCATTGCCTGCTGCATGTTCAAAACAGAAAAAAAAAAGTTATTTTAACTGATCAGTAAATGTATAACTTAGTGGAGAATTACCATATTTGACATCAGCATCAATCAGTTCATCTTGAAGTTTGAGGTTTTCTACCAAAGGGAGGGGCCGTATTGAGGCCTTATACTGAGAAGAAGATGGGATATCCCCCCGCTGAGGACCTGGATCTATCACTAAAGAACCAAATCAAACTCAAATCAACACGAGTTACTAAATATAGGCTACAAATAAAACACCAAAGCAGTAAGAGAGCCAAATAATCACACTATATAAAATAATAACCTATCCTGCCAAACTAAAAAAAAAAATAATGAAAAAACAATTTTTGTCTAAAATCAAATGACACGTACTGGTAAGAATGGAGGTACATGCAGTGTGTAAACTGCACAAACGGTGTCTAAAAAGTTATTTTTAGCATCAGCTGTTTAAATACAAAACTGATTTTTTTTTAATAACTAGATCCACAAAATTTAAACTACAAAAAAAACAAACAAACAAAACAAAACAAAACAAAACAAAACAAAAAAAAACTGTCATAACTAAAGACACTACAGGTTTGGGATATTGGATAGGTTTTACTGCACTCACAGATACAGCCTCTGTTGTTAGGTGCTAGTCTGTAGCCAGGCTTACACACACAGCTGTAGGAACCTTCCGAGTTCACACATTCATGTTCACAGCCCCCATTGTCCGACAAGCACTCATCCACATCTGAAAAACAGTTAAACATCACACAGGCTTCTTTATTCATGATTGAAATGACCATGTGTCAAGAACTGATGTTCAAAACTTGGAGCATAAACCACAAGTATTCTTATAAAACCCTTAAACTCACTTAAATTCAGAATGCATCACAGAGCACTTCTAAAAGGTCTACTTTTGTCAAAGAGCTTTTCTCAAAGCAGAAATTTTCCCATACCTATACAATGCAGAACACTTTTTTCTGTAACTATTTTCTTAGGTGTATTTGTCAAATGAAGATATTTGTGACAATTTTTCTTTGATAGACCTTATTTAAGGAATGAATTTAATTGCTACCCATTTGTTATACTGTAAAATCTGGGTTGGGGCAGCTTACGCTTTATAATCTGTGGTGGTAATATACAAGTATAACTTGGGTAGCTATTCTTAGGAAATTCTACACTTGTGTAGAGTAACTTCCGTGTGTAATTTCTCCAACCTTGTAAACCTTACATTGACACACAAGGGTAAATCTTACAATGACTCACAAGGGTAAATCTTACAAAGACTCACAAGGGTAAATCTTACAAAGACTCACAAGGGTTAATCTTACAAAAGACTCACAAGAATAAATCTTACAAAGACTCAAAAGGGTTAATCTTACAAAGACTCACAAGGGTAAATCTTACAAAGACTCACAAGGGTAAATCTTACAAAGACTCACAAGGGTTAATCTTACAAAGACTAACAAGGGTAAATCTTACAAAGACTCACAAGGGTAAATCTTACAAAGACTCACAAGGGTTAATCTTACAAAGACTCACAAGAGTTAATCTTACAAAGACACACAAGGGTTAATCTTACAAAGACTCACAAAGCTAAATCTTACAAAGACTCACAAGGGTAAATCTTACAAAGACTCACAAGGGTTAATCTTACAAAGACTCACAAGGGTTAATCTTACAAAGACTCACAAGAGTTAATCTTACAAAGACTCACAAGGGTAAATCTTACAAAGACTCACAAGGGTTAATCTTACAAAGACTCACAAGAGTTAATCTTACAAAGACTCACTAATCTTACAAAGACTTATAAGGGTTAATCTTACAAAGACTCACAAGGGTAAATCTTACAAAGACTCACAAGGGTTAATCTTACAAAGACTCACAAGGGTTAATCTTAAAAAGACTCACATGGGTTAATCTTACAAAGACTCACAAGGGTAAATCTTAGAAAGACACAAAAGAAAGAGTTGGTGTACAGTACTCACCATCACAGGAGCAGCCATTCTGGTTCAGAATGAACCCCCGCCTACAGATACAAGAGTAACCTCCTGGGTTGTTAGAACACTGGTGAGCACAGCAGGCCTCGTCAGACTCACACTCATCTTTATCTAAAATATGCTCAAAACTGTGAAATCTTTACCATATATCTCACTATTCAAATATAGCCAATAAAACTTCTGCCTACAATGGGTTCCACCCTTGCAGATATAAGCAATCCCACCCACTTTCATGTACAAAGTCAATCTGTTGTAACTCAGTATAAACATTGTACACACCTAGACAGGATTTCCTATCAATCTGTAGAGTGTATCCTTTCCTACAGGTACAGACTGGTCCCCCGTTCTCATGACGACAATTATGAGCACACCCTCCGTTGTTAATGGCACAGCTGTCTACTGGCTCCAGTTCCACTCCTACAAAACACCAGGAATTCAGTGAATATGCTAGAACTCAACAAGTATTCAAATATAGGACATCCAATACATTTAATTTCTTTTATATTTCACAAATTACACCATTGATAAAATGGAAGTTGACAAAGATTAAATTAGTCCAAATTTTTTAGGGCATCAGGACTCTCTGAGGTGACCCTTTTCAGCAAAGATTGGTAAAGTGAAAGGGAGATAACTACTGTCACCTGTCTTTGAATGGAAATCTTTTTTTCTGTCTTTGACCATCCTGTATTTATTACTGTTTTATTAGAATTGTGTTAAGTACCTTGTACAGGAACAGTCCCTGACAGAGTTTTTCTAACCTCTGTTGTGTAGGCATTAATGAATAAGAATAGAGAGATGTAAAAAATAACTCTTTAAAGTTTGGTAAGAATAATTAAAGACATCACATTGCAATTAATGAACATTACTGTAAAAAAGAAATTAATTGTAAGATATAAATATATCACTAGTACATTTATTTATATGTTAGAAAGTTTACAAAGGAAATTAACATACCATATACACACGAGGCTGTGAAAATTTAAAAAAATCCAAGCAGCAAAAAAAAAAAATGCACAGGTTAAAAAATGTGTCAAAATTATAGCTGCATAGTCAATATAATTATTACTTTCAAGTCAATTCCAGTATCTTCATAAAAATATTAGCATATACAGCCTACTCCACTTATACTGAAATCACTTGTTTTGAAATATCATTCATTTTGAAGTAAAATAAATCCCCAGTCTAAGTTTCTCATCATCATCAGTTACATTGAAATCGCTTATATTGAATTATTGCTCATTTTGAAGTTAATATATGGTCTGGTAAAGACTGACATGACAAACACTATATGCCCTGGCCATATTCATTTGGTGGCATAAAAATGTGAAATCTAAATCCAGATTAGCAAAGGATTCTGGGATAAATCTGAGCACACAATAGCAATGAAATGCATGTGCAAACAGTGTGCCGCTGTTTTTGCCCCAACCAAAAGAGAATAAGATCAGGAAATTATACCGAGATTGAAAAATGTCAGATTTTTTCAAATAAATTTTTAATGAACAAACTTTTTTCATTTCACTTTTCAAGTGTCATATACTTAACCATGTAATAATGAATTGGGTTTGTCTACATGTTTTTGATCAAGATCAGGATTTTAAAAGGACCTCACCATGGGCCATTTTTGCTTATTTTCAACTTTGGTTATATTGAAATAATGACTTGGGTCCCTTGAATTTCATTATATCTGAAGGAGACCTTACTGTACAAGCAAAACAGATTTTGAAAGCATGAACATATTAAACACATTTTGTTTAAATTAATGTACTCTGAAAAAAAAAGTCTGTGAACCAGTGCTCACTAGTAATACCCCTGCTCTCATGTGAATATACTATGCTCTCATGTGAATATACACAAGTCCAGTTGAGACGGAAATTTGGTATGGACAGACGCATGGATAACAGGAAGTTGACATCGGATTTGTACAAAAATGAATCCCACCATTTGGCATGCCAAAACAAGGAGTGTGCTAAAATTTCTAGCGTATGTGAAGAGAAATTTGTTACAGACTGCGAAGAGAAGTTTGTTACGGACAATTAGACAGACACCCAAGGGTAAAACAGTATACCCTCCTCTCCTTTGGAGCGGGGATAAAAAAAAAGCTTACTGATTTCTGGGTTTACAGTCATAAAGGTAGCTAAAAATCTTTTGAACAGTACATCAAAATTTAATCTTTAGTTAAAATTAAGTTTCAACAATTCAATACACAAAATACTCAATTTCCCCAGGTCACATATACAATGATGATTCGCTGAATTAATACTGACTGTAACAGGACTTCCTGTTGACCCCAAGCTGGAAACCCGGCTGACAGCGACAGGTGTAGGAACCCATTGTGTTGATACAGTCCTGGCTACATCCACCATTGTTGTTAAGGCATTCATTGATGTCTGAAAAAGCATACTGTTATTTTGTTCTTCATTTAATACCTAACACATTTCCAAAATGTCCTATAGGCATTCACACCATAAGTCAGATACACAGCACTGTTAAGGTGTACTTCGAAGAAATCAACAGAATATAAACATGTATAAATACATACCTTTTTAAAATGAATTTAATTTTGTAAAGGTACTATATTATCTTATGACTTTAACATTCTTTGAAATAACATTATATACCTTGCTCTCTACTGAATTTGGTTTGGTCACGTTATTTGATAGTCACGTGATAAATGCATGTAATATGTACTGTATGTAGGTCCAAACAAATTTCAATATCGCAAGGGCATACCCTAGTTAAAATTAAAAATCAAAGTAATAGATTGTTTCTACATAACTTGTAGTTTATGGAAAGCACTGCTGCTTTAAATAGAATGCGCATTTTATTAGTTTAAATTTCATGTTATCTTGCTAATTTCGAAATATGTGTGACCTTTACCAAGTATTTTATGTCTTTATTAAGTTATGCTATCGATTTCAGGAAAGAAGCACCACTTTTCAAGTTAAGGAATATGTCCATTATATGTATTCAAAAAATGGTCAAGATCTATTAAGTGTATGCCCTTGCGAAAAGGCGATTTAATGAGGCACCTCGGCGTGAAACATGCACACCCTGTAGACAAAAACACGGTAGAATTAATTCAATACATTTTCTCGATAGTTTTTAAATAATGACACTAAACAAATGTTTCAGATTTGTATTAATGGTCTACCTAAGATTTTCAAATAATATTCTGTTTAATAATAAAATGCATTTTTCACTGTGAAAAAATTGCTTGATCCGCCTCTCACTGCACATAAAATGCGTCAAACTTTACCATGATGACGTCATGTCGACAAGTGCATTGCAATCAGTGACTTGTTTATGTCTTGCTGTGTGGGATTTAACTAGCGACAAAAATGAATGCAGTGGTAAGTTTTGATGTAGTTCATTACTCTTATGCAGTTTAGATTTGCAAATTATTTCATTTTCAGTTATTGTGAGGAATTGCTATATTTGTGTGACGTCACAGTAAACTTTTCCCGTATAAATTAGGCCCCGCCCCCTTTATGCAGCCTTAACAGAGCTGCGTACTTGATCATTACCTATTTTTTTTTTTATACAGTCACTTTTATTTGGACATATACATATATCATACATCATCAAGAAATAGAATCTGTAACTAAGGACCATCAGAACTTGGGTCCTCTTTCTTGAAATATTAAGTACAACCCTTTAATTTAGCTATCTTGCTTGAAGCTTACCCTCACATTGTCGCTGATCAGCTGATAATTTGTAGCCCATAAAACACTCACACACTCTGCTACCATTCCTGTTAATACATTTGTGTTCACAGTCTCCATTTCTGTTCCTACAGGGGTCAGCCACTGAAAAACAGATTACAAAGCTTACCTAGACAAATATAATATCCAGATTAAGTAAGGCAAAAATCTCACACCAAATAAACATTCCATTAATGTGCAGCTGAAGGTGCAACATTGATGTGAATGGCTAGAACTAAAAGTTACTTGTGAGCGGACAAAAATGTTATTTTAAAACCATCTAGAAAATGAAGGTCAGATACAGCATCCAAATCAATCCCTAGATGCATTATATATATCCATACAAGTTTGATCATCATAGGACTTATAGTTACTTGCGAATTAACTTGCTCCCAAAAATTTAACCTGCATGGTTATTATTTAAAAAAAAATGTAGGTCAGATCCAGCATCTGGAACAAGTTTGGTAGTATGCATCCCTGAATGCATCATCCATGCAAGTTTGGTCACCACAAAGCTTTACAGTTGGGAATGGTCTGGCTCCAAAAACCAATCTTGATTAACAGAGTTTTTGTCTATAGATTTCAAATGATCTTGAAATTTTACCACTTTATATACATACGTTCACAGGTCCGTCCATCTTGTTTTAGTCGGTATCCTTCTCTACAGCTACACCTGTAATGTCCTGCTGCAGAGCCCTCTATACACAGATGTTCACAGTCCCCATTGTTTACACTGCAGGCTGATTCCACTAAAAGATCAATCATCTTTAGATGAAACAAGTATTCTCTTATAGTACTGCTAAAGTGATACCCCCCCCCCCCCAATAAATCTGAAAACAATACTACATGTATACTTCCAGTAGTATATATATACTATGATTTGTTGGATGAAATTAATACCCACCCGTACCCAAATGCTGAGTCCACATGTAAATTTATATATAAAGAAACTTAAAATCTAAATTTCATTTCTGTCTTTTTTTTATTTCAAATTTCAATAATCAAGAAAACAAATACCGTTTAGTAAGTAAAATTAATAAAAGAATGCAATAAAATCTGAAGTCTTCATGGTTAATTGAATTTTTTGCTCAGATGTACAGCTTTCACAAACCAAAGTGATATTGCAAGCTTGCATGTTTCTAAGTGACTGCCAATTTCATTGACATGTGCCTCAACTGTCGATCTGTAAAAAAGCTGATAATGAAATAAGTGTAAGATGAAAGTTAAGCTTAGTTTCCCTCCTTTGTTTTTAATTATTTTTATCTAGAATGTCAGGAGCCTTGCATCAAATTTTTATTTTTGTTTCAGCATCTGTGTTTTTAACAACACTATCAATCTTCCATGTTTAGAACTCTCTGGGCTCTCATGATAATAGTGCTAACAAGTTATTCTGCTACAAGACTTATGTATTGATGCTAGTGGTAATTGAATTTTTGTGTATTGTCGATTATGAGGTAACAGATCGTGTTACAACCTTTGAAGATTTAGATACAAACACCCATAGAATTTTCTTTATTTCTACTCGAAGCATCCATAAGGCTTACACAAACGAGGATAAGAGATATAGGACAATGACCATTATGATTCACAAGCACTGTACACTTTCACATGCAGTCTTCATGCAAGTCTTAGAGGGAAAAGAACTTATAAATCAAGACATAAATAAATTTAGCTGAATCACAAAATGCTGTCAAGAAGGCAATTAAATGAGTAATACTTAAGAATTGAAAATGTCTACAACAGATGAAGAGGTAAAAATTCATAATACAATGAGTTTCTAATTTAAAACAAATTTCTCTGCCATGTAATATTATGATGAATGCATGTAGTATTATGACGGCTCAAGTGCTAACTCTTCACTAAAGATTGAAAACATTAACTAAAAAAGTCACATAATTAACACATTATGTGAAGAAAGATCAAGGAAGAAAAATGATGCAGAGAGAAAACTGTATATGAAATGATCCTTAAAAATCCTGCAATCTAGCAAGAGAATGAAGCTAAAATGCTTATCTTGCCTAATTAAAAAAAAGAAAGAACACTGCAAACAAAAGAAAAGTCATGCAAAAAGTTTATGGAATTTTTTAATACATTTTTTCAGGTTTGGAAATGAAAGTATATTTAGTCTACTACAACAGACAATGAGATACCCTGATAATTCAGAAGTCGTCTCTTTTTGAAAACAGAAGCCAAGTCTGTAAACTCATCTGTCTTCTGAGCAATGGCTGCCAGTTTTTTATTTAGAAGTTTCACAGAAATCTCATTTTTCTGGTTTCGATTTTCCACTCCTTGTTTTAATTTTCTACTGGTATCACCATTTTTATCAAATTGTGCAACTAACTCATTATTTGTTCCTATTTTATTTTCAATCTTACGCAAGTTCCCAGCAGCTTGTAAAGGCAATATAAAAGAAAAATCATTAAAATTCCTCAATCAAATTAGTAGACCTTAGGATTAATCACAAATTGGTATTAAAGTCTACTTCATTTTCATGCTAGAGAAAATCTCCAATTACTTTTAATGACCTCATGGAAAAATTGCTTGACTGTGTTTGCTATTTCTATGGTGTAAATTAAAAATCTCCTGTGAAGTAACACATTTTAATTGGAGTAAGAAAAATTTAACAATTAAAGTTGTTTGAATGCACTTTAAAATCCAGCTAGTCTTAACCGTGATTTTTCTACATTAGACTGTAAAGTGAATTCAAGAAGAGTCTTGCATCTGTATCAACACCATGAGTCAGTTTTCAATGCATCAAAGAGAAAGATATTTATTTACTTAAAGAGAAAAAATTTAAGTAAACTATCAAAAAGAATTTTTAAAATACTGAGGATACAAACATTTTATTTAACATCTGTTAAAGGTTTTAAAGCCTTAATTACTTAAATACTTGCTCATGACACATAAACATTTAATATATCAGTGACAAAGAGGTATGTAAAGTTTTCATTGTAAGAATACCCTATCATTGCCATCTAAGCAGTTTGTAGATAAAAGATAGTCCAGCTATGTGCCTAGCACAATGGCTGTGAACAGGGTTAGCTTATAGCAGGTGCCCCCTCATGTACACCCAATACACCACGGCATGGTCCTAACATTACTTCTACTTTTGTGTTTGTCAGCATTACACGGTAACTCTATCAGACAATCTTCATGGAAACTTCTTTGTTCGACCATATTGCACACAGTCCACAAAAAAGAATTTGGCTGATCCTCCTAAATCTAGTTAGTTTAAGTGCTTTCACTTTATCCTATGTTCCTATGGGAGTCAGTATCAACATGGACCAAATCCAAACTTTCCATCCTCTATATCAATTTTCTTTATGTTGGGAATAAAGGGTTTTCAAACTTAAATTGATGAGATTTTCTTCATCTATTCATATCGAACATAATATTGCAATACTAAATGGAGGGTATTATCATAAATGGCTGTTGCCTTGTGTGTTCGCAATGAGCAGTGAGAACGCTCAAAGATGTTGGTGATTTGGAGACAAGAGAGTGATGCTGTGATTAATGGGGTTCAGAGGACCCAATACACACATTATACATCTATTACCTAATCCCTCAACCCTTAGGACATAAATACATTTTTTCCTCTATAGTTTCCAATTTTGGTATTAAAAAGAGTTCTTACAATGTACATAAAATTTTACTCTAATCCTCTTTCCTTACACTGTGAGAATAATTTTTAACTTTCACAAAACCTAGTTGGTAAAAATTGTGCATATCAAAAATGGTAGTCTTTTACATGAAAACCTTTATTCCATTTTACATTGCAATTGTTAATTCAATTTAGTGGCTATTACTGAAGCCATTCAAAATAAACAGAATGCATACACTAGACACGAGGCCTTACCCTCACAGCTTCGTCCGTCGGCACGGAGGCGGTATCCTGCAGGACATAAACACTGAAATCCTCCCTGGCTATTACGACAGTCATACTGACATCCGCCTTTTCTATTGTCACATTCATTGATATCTGAAAAGGATTCACAAACAGACATTGAAGCCAATTTTGAAAATGTTCATTTAAGTCACAGAGCAAATTACTTTCTATTTTCAAATTCAAAAGAAAGTAATTCTAACCAGGGCAAGATTCTGGACATTAATGTTTTCTTAATTCGTTGACATTAATAAAATCAACAGGACTTCACTCAAAAGTAAATATCTTAAACAAAATTGGTTGTATTGGAGTGGCTCAGGTTTCTGCATTTACAAGATGAAAACTTTCTTATAGACAAATTCTTTAATTTAATGCACCTCTGGTAGCTTCTTTTAGTCTGAATACTTTTTTTTTTATTGATCCTTAACTGAATACAAAAAAACTGTTCAAAGTTCTTAGTAAAATATTGTGTGACAAAAGCTGTAAATTTGTATGATCTTGAAAAACCTAAAGAATTTTTCTTTTATCTATATTTCAACTATCATGAAAATTTGCACTTTCTAAAAATAATATTGACCAGAAACAAACCAGTCAAAGTTCTCTGTCCTTCTGCTTAAAAATCAACTAATTCTAAGTTTCCTCTTATAATTTTTTCCTCAGAGTCTTAAATTTTCAGAATTCCTATAATGATGTTTACCTATACTGTATACAGTGAAGTTAAACCATTGCACTTTACCTTCACAACTTTTTCCATCTCTGCCTAGTCTGAAGCCTTGTCTACATTTACATCTATAAGAACCTACTGTGTTCATACATTCATGGTCACAACCACTAGTTCCCTGGGTACACTCATCCACATCTGGAAACAAAAGAAGACATTATTATTCTTATAATAGTAGGAGGGGTATGACACGAAGACCTAGAGCTTTGTTCTATAATATTAAGCCTTTAGCTTTAACTGAGTTAAAAAGCATAAGAACATGGAATTCTTTGGAGAGTAAATGATAGCTGTTAAAATGCTCCAAGAGCACACAAAAATATCAAAATTTACCAAATTTATCAATTGTATAAGTTTGAATTGTTTGGATTTTCCCCAGTAATACTGGTATTAAAAAAAAAAAAAAGAAAGACCTTCAACTTGGATTTTTACAGAAAAGCAATATAACAATATTTTCTTTAAGCTTTTCTTCTAAACAGAGGAATAATTTACCAAGTGTCTAAAATGTATGTTTATTTTTCTGATCAGTTTAATTTGTGCTATTGCTAGTACAAAATCCTTCTTGAATTACCAATACTTTCTCTTTTCAAATCTATTTCAATTCCAATCAACAGTACACAAAAACAGCATTAAAATGATCAACCAATACTGAACCAATCAAATTATATAGTGAGAATCTGATTCAACACTTAAAATAAGCTTTCTACATGTCATCTTGTTGTCTACTGAGGATTCGAGGACTCCAAGAATACAAGAGAATTACTGCAAACGAGATCAATCTGAGATGGAATGGTCAATCTTGTGACAAAGTAAGGAGAGATAAATTGCTCTCTGGAAACTCAACAGGTCTTTCTAGCCTAAGCAGTTATAATTACAGCCTTTTGATATTCCTTGCGCCTTATACTTAAACCCCTGAGCTGATCATTGGATGTTAATCATGCATGTGCATCGGCTTTCTTTAACCCCTGATTACACCTCTATATACATCAAGACTAAATTGACAGCCAAATCTAAGGAAACTGCCAATATGTTGCAAAAACTTGATTTGGAAGCTTTGGAATATAATGGCACATAATTGCCTAAGATTGCCTCCTTAGTCTGAAATAGATTAGTGTATTCTTAGTCCCTCCAACATTTGTCTAGAGTTCTCTAAAGCATCCCTAGAAATGCCATTTGTGAGAGACCTACCAGATTTATCAAGTCAACTCAAATTGAATCAAGCTCAATCTTTTTGCTGCAACCATTGAGGTAAAAACAGCCATTTTGAATGACTTATTGGAAGAAAAACTGATGTTCTTTGTCCTGACTAAATTATGCTGTTTTATTTACAATGATTACATAAAATGAAGACACAAAACAGAGGTATTACATGATTATTGAAGCGTTCATAAGAAATGAACATATGCTGACTCATGAGCAATACAATTCATATTTTATCATATTTGAGAGTTGGTTGCAAGATTTTCTTATAGAATGTCACTTGCCAAATTTAAGAGACTAAATAATTTTATAAATATCCAAACTCACTTAATTGTTAATATAAATTTTAGTCCACTCATACTCATCTCATTTTTGTCAAAATTACAATAAACTTTTGTTGAAGAAGACATATTATATGTTAAGCTATACCAAAAAACTTGATTTCATAAATCCTAAGACAGAAACTTTACTTATAAACAATGATCCAAAACAGTTGATCATTGCAGAGACGATTTTAGCTATTTAAGAATTTTAAAAGGAAATATTCAGAATTTTTCATCACAGCATGTGAGAATGTTTCTATAAATTTAATACAATATGTGAGAATACATTTCTAAAATTTACTCAAACTGAATCAATCTGTGTGACAATAAATATATCTATTTTATATATTTTATAGTTTTCTATAAGTAGCCAAATTAAACTAGAACTGTCCAAAAGGGACAAATACCCCCCGCTGGGTTTTTCACAGAAGGTACCAAATCACTAATGTTTTCTAGATGTGAGAGGTGTTCACAATTTGCTTAAACATATAGAGTGAAAATTTAATTACTCATTATATTTTTTTAATGAATGAAACTAAGGTGCAGCCTAATAAAACATCAATACTAGTAATTACAGTGTTTTTTATTACATTGAAAAAATAGTTTGCAACTATCTGTCATCTTTGTGAGACATGACACTCTGCAAATTGATTGTTGAAAAAAAAAAATATCATAATTAATTATACAAAATCAAATTGATCTTAATGCCTTTATATCAAAGTCATTTTAAAAATAAAAGGCTGGTTCCAGTAACTATGTATTTTGACAGACATAAATTAAAATTAAGAGACTTAGACAACAGAGATCTTTATTTCTTTCTGCCCAATTCCCAGGAGATATGGATAAGACCTGCTTGATCAGAGATGCCATAACAGCTTCCCACACTGAACTCATTAATTAATCTTTAACTGGATGCATGTCCACTCATTACTCCTAAGGGACAAATGGATTTACACTATCTGCTGTGTAATGTAAAATCTGTTTTTAATACTTTGTGATTTTTTTTAATTCTAATGAGTAGTTTTAAGCTGTAGTTCACATTTTTGTACAGATGTTCTAGATTCTATTCTCAAAGCTTAGACATGAACCCGAAATGACTAAGTCAATAAAAATGAAAAAAAAAAACACCTGTAAAATGCAGAAAAATTATCAAATAATGTTGAAAATACCAGGTGCACATCTTCATATGGTAAATAATAAGTGTACAAATTTTCATACAAATCTATGCAATAGTCTCTGGGAACAGATCCGGATAAAACCACATAATAAAAATGAAAAAAACACCTGTAAAATGCAAAAAAATTATCCAATCATGATGAAAATACCAGGTGCACACCTTCATATGGCAAAGAATAAGTGTACAAATTTTCAGACAAATCCTTGCAACAGTTTCCAAGAAATGGTCCGGACAAAATCTCGTCTACAGACAGACGGACAGACAGACAGACGGACAAGCTGATTCCAATATACCCCCCCTAAACTTTGTTTGCGGGGGTATAAAAATAGAAAAAAAATATTAATAGAAAGGTAGAATTTTCACCAGTTATGAGCCATTAAATTATAAGTTTGGCCCCTGGCCCTTTGCCCTGTTAACACAAATTATGTATATATATATATATATATATCTACAGAATTAGCCAGGCACATATTGTCACTCTTTCCAAACTGAGAAGATTTTCAAGTTTTTTTTCAGTGTAAAACTGGCAGAAAACACAAAATTAAAGAATTATTTCTTATTAGATTGATTGATTGTATGTTGTTTTACATCCCATTCAAGAATTTTTCACTCATATAGAGACATCACAATATACTGGTGAAGGGCTTCAAATTTATACATGAACCTTTACTCGGCACTCAGGGATATTGAGCAGTGAGGAATTTTTATCATGCCAATGCGGCTGTGACACGCAACTTTCACTTCAAAGTGCCCAGCGCTTGGTGAAGGAACAGTTGCTACTTATTTTTTATCAACTTAGGTCAGTTGCGGCTGGGGCTCGAACACACAGCCTCCTGATCTTTAGATTAATCTAAAATCCTGTTTAAGTGGACAAATCATAAAAAAGTTTTGAATTTTTTTCAAAAAAGGAGCTAGGTTCACTAACTCCATAAAATGGCCCTGTCCTTATACCAATAAACTGACCAAGTCCCAATGTTCTATTTTAAACATCAATATAGAGAAGAGACATAGTGCTTTCATTTCCCATAAAAAAGTTTCCTTTGAGAGTTCAAGTATTGCAGAATAGGCTTTCTGAAAATTCAATTTTCTTGAATTTTGATGAAAATGGATGAATTTGAGCATCTTCCTCTAATAATTAAAATATGAGCCCACCCAGCGATCCCCAAAAAAATTTAATGGTTAAGAATCTTATGAAACAGTTCTTTCATTATATAATTAAACATTTTAGATCAGAGGTTGGGGACTATGCAAAATATTGAAAATCAGCTTATATTTTTGGTCATTTTTAAAGAATTTTTCAGGATTTGAGGAAAATGATGCAAAATACATGTACTAGAGAGAAAATTATGTCATTTTTAATTGAAATGCAGTAACCAAGGGTCCAAGTGAAATTTTAACATATTTTCAACTAAAACTGAAATATTTGATTTTTCAGAAATTCACAGGGCCTAAAAAGGCCCTAAGTGAACTTTGTTCTTTGAAAAACAATCAAAAGAAAAAAACTATTGATTTATCTTGTCTGACAAAATCTTTAAATATATTTGTGATAAATTATACTAGCAATAAAACTGTCTGATTCTTTAGTCCAAATTAAGAACTATCTATTATCAATACTAAGCAAGTTCTGTATAACCCCATTCAAAAGCCCTATAATAACCAAACTTACAACCAAAACTGCCCTATGGAGTCTTCAAGCTGCCAATTTCAATATTTACACACTTTTTAGATTCTTTCCCCTTTCATGTACCAAACAATTTTTCTTTAAATCATTTTTTAAATCTCAGTAAAAAAAAAAATTAACCCTTTAACTTCTGACCTTCATACAGTGGTTCATTAGTCCTATTGATTTTGTTTCCATATATAGAACCTTTATTGACATCTCCCTACATCTTTTTCTTGAGCGTATAAATTAATTAGATGTTTGATTTAACCAAACATTGACTATACCCTTTAAAGTTCATAGATTTCTTGGTCAATAAAATAAGATAGAAATGTCAATAAAACAATGATGGTTAATTATATTATAATTTTATTCACTGAATTGACATTCAAAAGCAAGACCCCAATCCCTCCCATTTCACTGTCCTTTCTTAGTTTCATTGAGAGAAACTGCATGGGTCTGTTAAAAATCTGTGAAAATTTTAGGACATAATTAGCATAAAAATATGTAAAAAAAAAAAAAAAAAAAAAAAAAAAAAAAAAAAAAAATATTGTAGTAAAGATATACTTACAAAATGACAATACTATGTACTAACAGATACTTCTGATGGGGGTCTTTAAATTAATACAAACTATACTCTGGTTGTTGTTACTTATAATAAAACTTAATTGCTAAGAGACGTAATGATATATTGTGTTTTAAACAAAGTCAAATTAGAATATTGTATCAAGTATTTTACAGAATCGATCTAATTCAACGTATATGATTTGATACGTAAAAT